TTTGTTTAAGGGAAGTAACTTCGTTTAGTTCTTCAAAGGGCGGTAATAATGATTGGGGTTGTAAATATGGAGATTATACGCTTTCTTTCCATCATCCCATATACGAACAGTTATTTAAGTATCAATAAAGCGAGTAATGCCTTTTAACAGTAGGCCTCATCTTTTCTTAAAGACAGCGATCGCTGAGAAAAGTCTTATTTGTCTAATAGAGGAAAGTAATCATTATGCTGGCAACATTGGCTTAACGGATACAAATCTACAAAAGTTAGGGGTAATTTAAGTGTTAGACTATGGTGTAGGTCAGTGGCGTAGCCAGGATCGTCTCATGGGGGGTTCCAATTTTTACCCGGGGACAAACTTTCGATTTGCACCCCCCTCAAACTTTTTATATATAGGGGTCTATGGGGGGTTATGACCCCCTAACCCCCCTGCCTACGCCACTGGTGTAAGTATAAGGTAAGTTGACAAATCTACAAAAGTTAAGGGTAAGTTAAGTGTTAGAGTATGGTGTAGATATAAGGTAAGTTGACAAATCTACAAAAGTTAAGGGTAAGTTAAGTGTTAGAGTATGGTGTAGATATAAGGTAAGTTGACAAATCTACAAAAGTTAAGGGTAAGTTAAGTGTTAGAGTATGGTGTAGATATAAGGTAAGTTGACAAATCTACAAAAGTTAAGGGTAAGTTAAGTGTTAGAGTATGGTGTAGATATAAGGTAAGTTGACAAATCTACAAAAGTTAAGGGTAAGTTAAGTGTTAGAGTATGGTGTAGATATAAGGTAAGTTGACAAATCTACAAAAGTTAAGGGTAAGTTAAGTGTTAGAGTATGGTGTAGATATAAGGTAAGTTGACAAATCTACAAAAGTTAAGGGTAAGTTAAGTGTTAGAGTATGGTGTAGATATAAGGTAAGTAGTATGTTTTGATTTAGGAAGACGTCTATTTTGTTATTTAAATGGTCTAAATTAATTAATAAAGTTGTATCTGATTGGGGCAGAGCTCAACAAACAATGCAAGAAGAAATGTTATGTGTTAATATCCACATGTTTAGTAACAAACTCTGATGCTATCGAAACTTAAGCTCTTGGTTATGTTTTGGGTAATTTACACCGACATAGACTCGACCTAATGTTCGGATGATGAGGATAGAAATATAATGTACGTCTTGCGGTTCTTTGAAAGATTAAATACGAAAGTCGTGACTGTTGGAAAGATTAAATGGCAATGAATTCGTTGTGTGACTGTCGGTAAAATTAAATGATAATCCATTTATAAATAAACCGTGAGTGATCTCCCTTAAACTTTCTCGAATATTCTTAATCCATTTTTAATTATTTAAACTTTTTAAAATAGAATAGAATATCGTAGAAAAAAAAGAATTGCGCACCAAGCGAATGCCAAACAAAATGTGTATAACAGTGCGGAATATTATTAGTACTTTATAAATTCACATGCATTTTTTGAGAAATTGGAAATAGCCTAAATTACTACTTCAGGTCAACGGAAATTACTCAAAATTTGATAGAAGGTGAAGAATTAGATCTTTTACTTACATGTGAAATTTCATTAATCTATCTGGAACAGTACTCAAGTTATAGGCTTTTGAAAAACTAACTAAAAGTGAAATAAGTTCCACTTCCGGTTATCGAAAATCGCTGAAAAGTTGATACAGAACTACAAATTTTATATAATATTTATATATGAAATTTCATCAACCTAGCTGTAATGGTACTCAAGTTATCCTGTTCACAGACGCACATACACACACATACACACACACAGACATACGGACAAGATTGCAAAACTATGTTTTTCCGACTCAGGGAGGTGTAAAACGTCGAGATTTGCAAAGATCTTGATTATTATTTTTTTGCACGATTACAACACTTTCTCTATACTTCGTTTACGAGAAAGTAAAAAAGAACTAGAAAAATTAATGATAGACGTTCAGGCACATTGCAAGTTTAATATATTAAATCAGTAGTAAACATTAAATATTGGTACTGAAATGTACTAATTTATCTATTGTAAACAGATGCCTACTGGTAGTTGTATGTTATTAATCCATCATTAGATATATCTTGAGCTCCCAGTTATATGAATGTTCTAAGATACAGCGAACATAATTACAGAAACAATCACGGTGTGGATACAGAAATGGTCGCGTCTTCATTGTAAAGCAGCACAGGATAACTATAATAGTGATGGTAACAATAACTGTTTGGCCAACTCTAAATATTGGGCCAACACTTACTTCTCGACCAACTCTACTTGTTTGGCCAACACTAACTTTTTTGGCCAACACTAAAAGTTAGACCACACGATTCCCTAAATTCCTTTATGTTAACTATGACTGCCCGTGAATAATTATCACACATTATATCTTGTCGTAAGAGACTAAAATGATCTAATATAGATATGATTTTTGTTATGATGTCACATCTAACAAAGTTCGATGTAAAATGGAATAGAACTGTGTAAGGATACCGATTTGGAGAGATGAAATAAAGCTTTAGTATGTTTCAAGATGTTGAATCAGTTTTACAAGGGTGGGTGAATTAAATTTTTCCTGAGACTAGACATAAGATACATTTGTCTTAATGTTTGTAGACATAATTCTAGGATCTCTTAAATCCTAGGGCCACTTAAATCCGAGGGTCACCCTTAAGACCATATGAAGCTTTGGGACTCTAAAATCTCAGGATAACCGAAATATTTTGGCCATTTAAATCTTAGAGATACTAAAATCTTAGGGCGCGAGTAATCTTTTGGTCATTTAAATCTTAGAGATACAAAAACTTTGGTGCCACAGAAATCTTTTGGCCATTTAAATCTTATTGATTCATGAATCTTAGGGCCCCAGAAATATTTTGGCCATTTAAAATTTAGCCTGTAATTTTAGGGCCACATATTTTAGGACCAAATTGTTTTTATACAATCAATATTATTTATTTGAAAGAAACACGGACAAACTGTTACACTGTGCAATATCATTTAAATAATTTCTTAGAATAAAAAATACAATCGCAAACTCTCATAATCATAATAACCAGCACATTCGATTTTAACCGTTTGTAGCCCTTGAACCAGCAACAAATTATTGTTGTTTAATTAAGAGTGCATGAACAGCAAAACATGACGTCATTTATTTATTTCGTATTGCAGATGTAAAAAAAAAAACTGTTAACACGGTCGAAATTAATAAGAGAGGCTAACGAGGTATAACTGGTCACAAAATATGATTCATCATTAGAAAAATATACAAATAACTAATCGTTTGTTGAACGCTTTACTAAGATATATTTAGATCTAGTTCAAAACTCAAAAAGAAAAAAATGTTGAATGTATGATGGAACTTTTGATACAAAACTAGTCGACCAAGGGTATCTAAAATTTGTTAGCAATTTAATTGTTTTTTAATTCATAAAAGCTTAACCTTAGTCTTCAAAATTTACAAATTGTCATAGCTTTATAAAATATACATCTCACAACTCTAAACTTTCATAGCTAGCAGAATTAGAATGTTAATATTCCATTAGATGCCTTTCGTGCGTGAAAGTTTTGCAAATAGTCAACAAATTGGTTTAGCTTAATCTGAGGCAATTATTGGTTTCGATCAATGGTCGGTAATAATTGATTTAGATCAATGGTCGGCTATTATTGGTTTAGATCAATGGTCGGCAATAATTGATTTAGATTCTTTAGATCAATGGTCGGCAATTATTGGTTTAGCTCAATGGTCGGTAATTATTTGTTTAGCTCAATGGTCGGTAACTACAGCTCCGAACAGATGAGATTTTATGAACAAGTAGGTGCGGCGCATTAATCAAGTAATAAGAGATGTTCCAAAAAAACACTACGCAAAAAACATGTTTTGTATGTAGGTAGTTTCTAAAGATGCAACGGTTAAAATTATAACTCCGTGTGGCTCTGGTTAACACATAAGAATTTTATAAATAGCTCTTTACTAAACAAAGATTTCCGAACTTCAACTTAGCAGAGAAAATTCTCTAATCTTAACTTTACTAAGGACATTATTCCGATCCCTATTTTACTAAAAAGGTCTCCAATCCTTAGTTTACAAAGGAAAGGTTTCCGATGCATAGTTAACAAAAGAGAGGTTTCCGATCCCATAATTTATTAAACACAAATCTCCAATTCCTAGTAACTTTAGTTGTCTTTAATTCCTAGTTTAGGCAGGTTCTCCGACCCTTAGTTTACCGAAGAAAATTCTCCGATCCATCCTTAGTTTATTGAAGAAGGGTTTTCGATCCCTAATTAATCGAAGAAAATCATCCGATCCCCAGTTTAGGTTTTTGACGAGTTTTCTATTGTCAGTAGTTGACTAAAAATACTTGCGTGTGCGTGTGTTTCTATCAGTATGTCTGACTTACTTTAGCTCACAGTATAGCTGACGATTTTATATCATCGAGTTGAAATCGAACTTAGAGCTAAAGTAGCCCTGAGTAAAACTAAATTCCCTACAATTAACATAACGTAGCCCTGCGCAATACATAATTTTTAGTGATTTCAACAAGTCCAACCCCTGCTGTATACACTACTTCTACAATGACTAGCCCTATACAGAACTGGTTTAGGTAAATTAGACGATATGAAACATCTCTTATGGTAAGAAACCTGACTTAGAATATAATCAAGAAACACGATTTTAGAGCTATTCAAAACGGTGGTTAAACCCATGTCTTCGTTGCATGCTTAACAAAGAATGGGTTAAAATCATGGTTAGCAACATGACTATAATCTTAACATGACTTAACTATGATCTAAACATGACTTAACTATGATCTAAACATGGCTTAACTATGATCTAAACATGGCTTAACTATGATCTAAACATGGCTTAACTATGATCTAAACATGGCTTAACTATGATTTAAACTTGACAACCTATTTCATGACTTTTGACTAGTATTCATCACCCTACAGTCTTATAAACACCCCAACATAGCTAGACCCCCCCCCTACACACACACATGTACCTACCCATGACAGCAGAGTGGCCGAAGTCCAGCGGCAAGCCGGCATGTAGAGCGAGGGTGTCCAGGGCGAAGTCTGGAGCGCCCACCGTTGTCAGACCGGACACCCGGATCAGGTCCAAGGGACCAATGGTTCCTGTAGGTCAGCTCTAGTCACCTGGCTAGGTGAGCACTTAGTGTGTAGCTAACCTACCAATGAAGGTGTGCTGTAACTAAAGTGGTCAGCAGACCTCAAGTACCAGGGGTGGGGTGTGGCTCCACAGACTGGGGTGTGGGGCTTGAGGCTTGGAACACGACGCTACAGCTTGGTTGTTTAATAAATGTACCTCAACATTTTAAACATTCCGTTTTGTTTCAATAATCCATGGATGGCTAGCATCCGTTATCCAGTCCTTGATATCCAGGTATTCCGGGAGTTTTCCGGAGAATCTGGAGAGAGAAAAAATGGAAACATTGACGAAATTTTGGCCTAGTAACCCTCGCTAAAACAATGTGTAAGCCAACTAAAGGTATCTTATTTGTAGGACATCTATGGATATTTTATTTGTACACCAGCTATATATATATATATATATATATATATATATATATATATATATATATATATATATATATATATATATATATATATATATATATATATATATATATATATATATATATATATATATATATATATATATATATATATATATATATGTTTTTTTTAATAGCTTTAGGAAATATTTAGTTAAAAAATAACTAAAAGATATTTTTTTAGTAAAAACAAAGATTGCGTTAAGAAAAGTGTTTTTGCTTCAAGGAATGTTGACACTACGGGCCGGATGTTTTCTACTCCATTTCGTTTTGTCGTCTGCAGTCAGTGTGTGGAGTAGGCTATACAAAAATCTGAGCAAATCATCATCATTATTTTTAGAATTAAGTTAATTAATACTAATTGGCCGTATCGAAGGTTAATTGTTGTCTCCATGCCATGCCGACTAATTAAAAAACAGAGCACGCGAGTTGAAGAGAAATAAAAACCTGTACAGCTAATCCCCGCATAAACCTGTTCACATCTACAAGCGCAGAGGTGCCGAGAACGCTTGTTGCTGGGGTAAGACTGTCTTGGTGAGCGACCGTCCCGCCAACAGCTGATGGTGAGTGCGTGACACGGCGCACACACTGGCCATGCATGGCAAATTGACTTTCACGGAACGTGCCTGTACCTTCCTGTTCCAGCAGACCCGCCCCCCTCCTCCCCACCCCTAATCGCCTCTATCCTGCGCGCAATGCTTCCAGCCAATTTCCCAATTGTCGGCTGCTAATTATGTCCCGCCCCTATTCTCTGTAAACTTGTTGCATGACGTCACGCATCTACCAAACGATGTGTCCATACACATGCGCCACGATTGGTTCCAGATTTCTCCCGCATTTAATTACAAACGTCCATCACCAATAAAACAAGCGGCATGAAAGCTCAGGCCCCGCCCACCGCGGGTAATGCCAGAAAAGTTCCTGAGCGGCAGGAGCGGAGCCGGCTGTTATCTTCCAATTGGTTCCGCCTGGGCTGGTCACATCCCGTCTCCCCGGGACTTGTGGCACTTCCCGCCCCGGGCCCCTAATGCGCCAGGGGGGACCAGGGGAGCTAATTTGATGATCCACGGCGCAGGGTTTGGTCCCAGACAAACGCGCCGAGGCTGTAATTGCCGGGGCTGTTAGGGAAGACAAACCGCTTTTAGCTATTGTCTCCCTTGGTTAGCTGCTGCTCTCTTCAGACTTTCTTTGACCAAAGTTTAGATAAGTTGGGGGGAAAAAATGTCTGACTTAACCTAAGCGTCAACAGTTGACGGAGTAAAAATTTTAAATCCCACAAACTCTTAGTTCAAAAAAATATTTTAAGGTTTCTATCCACTCAAAAAATACTCTCTTCGCCCCAGTTTATAACTAAAGACAGTATTTCAAGATCTTTAATGAAAGCTATATTTTAAAACTAAAACTGTATTTCAAAAACTAAGGCCCATCCACGATTAACAGCTCAAGGCAGAGTAAAGGCATGTGTAATTTGTAACTTGGTACTAGATCTAACATCTTATAACACAACCTAACCCAACCCAACCCCATCATGGGTCACAATATAACATCCACTAAGCGACATAAAACAACCCACCCCCATCATAGGCTATAGTGTCAACACGGTGTGGGCTAATAAGACAGTTTAGAGTTAAATATTCATTTAACATTTCCAGTTTTAGATTTAAGAATACAGTTTTGAAACTCATGAGTATAAGCCAAATGTTTAACAATTCAGGAACTTTAGAAAGTATACTTTTACGTTACATTTTGCACCATTTATTAAATTGCTGCATTTTGCTTCAACAGTATGTATCAGTAGAGGCCATACTTCAAGGCGAATTTTCTAAACCATATTCTAGTGGAAGTCATACTTTAATTTGAATTTTTGAAACCATACTCTCAAGCTATATTGCGTATTGCTAATATTTTCAACTCACGTTCTTAGTAATAAAACAGATAGTGTTAGTTGCCTCACAAGTTCAAGACAGTTACAAGTACTATGGACGTTTCGACCCAAGGTCTTCGTCAGCACACAAGTACTATGGACGTTTCGACCCAAGGTCTTCGTCAGCTACCATTTAACTGTCTTTAACTTGTGAGGTAACTAACACTATCTGTTTTATTACTAATTGCATTAACCTCACTGCAGCTACCATTTGTTTTTAACAACTCACTTTCTTAGGAACAATATATTCTTATGGTGATCATTAAGCCGTCATCATTTTTATTGCATCATTATTCCATAACACATTCACAAATTAAATTTTGTTAGTTATATTATAACACCATCCAGTGCTGCAGCCCAAAAGAAACCAAGCCCTAACAAAATGTATCACGTGATTTGACTCAACGAACAGCGACAATAGTAATAAGATGATGTCGGTAAACATTGCTGTGATGGCGTGCAATAAAGTGGTCAAATCCAACAAATATGACATGGAGTAGCAGGTCTATTATTTACTTGTGTACCCATCTCATCAAACTCCTGCACTGTTTCGCTCTTTTATTTAATTAATTATTTCATACTTTCTCTAGCTTGTCACAATTTTCTGAATAGTTTTGTCCGTCCATGTCTACAGTTGTGGTAAAACAAACAGTTTAGTTATGTGAAGAATTACATTGATAGCTTTAGTCTAATTAAAATATTTTAATTAAAATTGTGTTCAAAGTAAGATGGTTAAAACTAAGTAAAAAATGAAATTATAGCTTAAATTAGTTTAACATGGTTTAAAAATGTTTCTTACAAATAACACGGTTGTCGGCATGTTTTATCTACAAGCTTCTCATCTTAATTAAGTACATTTCAATTTAAATTTTCACCAAATAATTCACAGGCTAAAGAACAAAAAATTAATAACTTGCAGCTTCATAATCAAAAGATTTTTTAAAAAATAAGTCTAATTTTTTTACCGGAACAAAGTTTATGAGAACAATATCAAGATAAACTTCTCTCAGACGAGAAAATAATGTTAGGTTTAGTTCAGGGACCGGTCTTTCGGATATTGCTCAACTTTTTGATGAGCATAAATAAGATCTGCAGATAAGGACTCGCTTGAAGATGATTTAAAGAGGTCTAAAACGGAATCAATGAAGTGCACTTGCTGTTGCCGGTCTATTCAAAGACATTCCGTCATGCGCAGTGGGACATGTCTAGGCGCGAGCAGGGGAAAGGTGGGCGCGGCTCAACATCAACTTCCCGCGAAATGCCGCAGAGACGCGGCTCTAGATAAACACTGGCGACTCGCCTGAGGGACCCGCACTCACATGGGATTCATGGCCCATACTAAAGCATGAGATTCATGGCCCACACTAAAACATGGGATTCATGGCCCGCACACACACGAGATTCATGGCCCACGCTAACTCATGGATTCATGGCCCACGCTAACTCATGGATTCATGGCCCACACTAAAGCATGGGATTTATGGCCCACACTAAAGCATGGGATTCATGGCCCACACTAAAGCATGAGATTCGTGGTCCACACTAAAGCATGGGATTTATGGCCCACACTAAAGCATGGGATTCATGGCCCATACTAAAGCATGGGATTCATGGCCCATACTGATTGCCGACCTCGTCTGTCTTAGAATGTTTTAATAACAAGCTTTTAATATGTAGTAATGTTCTAAAAAGGGGGAAATAAATGATTTTGTTTATATATACAATAATACACTACTATTTATATGCCTGTAAAGAAAAGCGTGGGTAACTATATCATCTGTTGAAAATCTTTACTTAAATTTAAGAAGCTTACCAGGCTTTTCTTTACAGTTATTTAAATAGCGTGTAAAAGTGCGGAATAGTAGTAGTAGGACAGCCTACTCATTTCAGAAAATTTTAATCAATTCAAAATTTAAATTTAATGTCATATTTCATTGTCTTCATGTCTTGACTTGCGTGCCAACTTTAAAAAAATCGGTCAGTTAAAAGTACCCGAAATTTCGCTCGCCCGTTTCAATCTATGACGACATACTGACGACAGACAGAGAAAGCAAGTTAAATAAAAGCTTGTAATTTTTTTTTTTAAATATGGAAATTAGTGCAATCGATAGTACCCAAACAGCTTTAATTTTTAAAATGTAATCTCAGTATTATTGCCTGCCATATTTTTTAAAAAGATTTTTTTTATTTCGAATGATTATAATTATATAGATATAGATTTTGAACCAGTTTTCAAGCCTTTTCATGGGGAAAGGCGTGGCTGTAAAAATAAAACAACCAATACATTGGAGGCAGTGATTCACCAAGGTAAATTATTTATTTTAGACTCGTTGAATTTGCAGTAATACATGTAGGCAAATTAGTATTAACTTTTATTGATAAATAATATGATGTTAATTAATAAAAACAGGTATTTTCAAGCATGTGAAACAGTATTTACATACAAAAGGTTGCCAGGCAATAAAGAGAGAGGTTAACGAAAACTTGTTTTAATTTAATCAGTAAATATTTACAATGCTGAATTTTTTTAGAGTAAGGAAAATATGAACGTTTTATTTCTAAACTTTCACGCGTAAAATTTAAAACATAATGGAATTATAATTTAAATTTTATAAACAAAGGTAGAGCAATATGTCTAAGCTAATTCTTAAAAAAAACAAATAATGGCTAATACATTAGGTGTGTGTTAATAAAAACCTAACAGACTGGACCGTTGCTGACTTGGGTATATAAAGTAAAAAATCATTAACAAAAAAAGTTATCAATTCACATTTTTAAGTTTAGAAGAGGAAACTTCAGGAAACATTCATCACCAAGGCAACAGTAAACAATTTAGTCACATGTTTTCTTTATCATCCCTTTCTTTAAAAATTGGTAATTTTGTGTTGTCAATAAACAATAAAAACATAGTTTTAAAAAGAAAAAGAAGGAGAACATAACTCTATTGTATTTTAACGGTGCAAGGGAAACAACCGTGCAGTAGAATTGAACCACGGAATATTTAGTTACAGTAAAAAACGAAGAGATAGAAAAAACCTCCCGTGTCTATTGTATTGTCAGTTTTCTTTATTCCACGCCATTAATAACCAATGAACGAACAGGTTTAGCTATTAGCAATGATTGATTCGCCATCGGCGCAGATTGCTCAAAGGTAGGGGGCAGCGAGAGAGGAGCGGAGAAAACGATAGGTGTTGAGGGACGCCAAGAAGCGGGGGCGAAGGTGAAACGGGAGCCGCTGCACAGGGAAGCAACAACATCGGGTGGAGGCTGAAGGTCGTTAAAGGCTCATCACTGTCTCAGGCGGAACCCTGACGAGCACTTGGCGACACCCGGTTCCCTCATCCTCGCCTCGAGGTACTCACTCTTTGTCTCGTGGAGATGACAAAAACTGCTCGCGTGCTGGAGAGGGGGTGAGAGAGTTATGGACGGGTTTAAGAGGGGTCATATGTGAGGGAAATGGGGGGGGGGTCAAATGTGAGGGAAATGGGGGATCAAATGTGAGGAAAATGTGGGGGGGGGGGGGTCAGATAGGGGGTCAAATGGGGAAACTGTGGGTCAAATGTGGAAAAATGGGGTTCAAGTGGGAGGAAATGGGGGGGGGGGGGTTTAAAAGTGGAGAATTGCAGAGTGATCAAATGTATGGGAAATGGAGGGGGGGAGTCAAATGTGAGAAAAAGGGAATTCAACTGGGGGGAAATGGGGGGGGGGTCAAATGGGGAGATCAAATATGGAGGGGATTGGGGGATAAATCTGGAGAAACGGGGTTCAATTGTGGGGAAATTGTTGTCAAATGGGGGTCTAATAGGGGGAAAATAGGGGACCGGAAAACGGAAGTGGAGGAAATGGGGCGGGGGGGGGGGGTCAAATGGAGGATCGGAGGTGGGGAAATGTAAGACTAGAATGGAAAGAGTAATAATGGAAAAGTAATATCGGGGGAATTGAAGATTTGGAGAAATATTAGACTGGGGCAATGGAAGGCGGGGGAAAGTGAAAGTGAGGGAATGTAAGACAATGGTGGAGGGGGGGGGGGTAAGACTTTAGAATGGATGATTAAAGGTTGGCCGAATTTTTTTCTTGTTTGTTAACTATACGACTGACTTTCAAACATGTTACCTTGCTTCTTGTTCGCATCATGATTGGTCCATAGCATGCCTTGAATGAACACGCTGATTCTTACTGAGAAGATCAGTGGGTCACCACTTAATGATTTACATTTGGCTGGACCAATAGCAATTAGGGAGTGTACACATGTATAAAATAAAACAATCCACACCCACACAAACCACACTTACACATAAACCACACTCACACACACAAGCAACGCACACGAAACAACTTACACACACTAACCATATTCAACACACGAACCACGCTCATACACACAAACCACACACCCACACAATAAATGACTGTGTGTGTACTTGAGCAGGTCTAGTAACACTCCAGTGATTGAGCTTCCATCAACTTTCTTTACGCTATTTAGTTTACTGTGTCTGTTAGTTGGTTTGTTTGTTTGCGGATTTTTTGGCAAATCAATTCTGACCCATTTCTTGTGCAATTAATTCGTTTAAATTTCATTGATATGTTCTTCTTTATAGACAATGCTAGTATACAGTGTTGATGTAATTAGATATAAATTAGTCATTAAAAATGTATTTAGATGACTAAATTCAGTAATAAAAGGGGAGAGAGCAAGCGGATTAACCTCAAGCAAACACTCGACCAGCTTGGTTAGGGAGGTGAACTGTTGGACATGGTTGGTTGGTTTCATGCATGAGAGCAATCACGGGCGGTACGAAGGGGCAGATAATTGTCTTTTAAAGGTCGCAAGCAACTGATAGGGTTTGAAAGCACATTTTTAGTCGTATGTGGCGACTTCATTAAGAACGAATTACTAAAAAAAATAGAAAATAAAATAAATAATTAAAAAACTATATAATTATGAACTTTTAAAAGCACAGAAAAGAAGAAAGAAAAAGGTTGTTTTTTTTTTTTAAATAGAAGCATTTGTCGCTCCTGAATCCTCATATAGATCTACATTTGAGCGACCAATCTTTATTAAGAAAAGCAATTTTGTTTTATTTTGCTTATTATCAATACATTTAATTGTTTATTATAAAGATTAATTATATTTTGTTCTAATTCTATTGCTGTATTATTCTTTTAAATACAAAATTAAATAACTCAATTTTGAGACTTCTTTAAAAGTAAAATATCTTACATATTTTAAAGTGTATTTCATGAATAAGACACTATATGTGTGATATTTTATGGGTAAGAGGACGAATTCCTAATGAGTTCAACTAACAGTCAATGGTTTACAAACACACGGCTTGATTAGTTTATACAGTTCAATAGCCTACATTTCGCGAATATAATTTTAAAATTCACCTTTTTGTATTATCCACTATTTACCTAATGTTTAACCGCTGTTGTACGCCATTAGTAGCATAAAATTAAAATGTATGAGTTTAGTTCGTTATTTGGTTGTGTGTCGGTTTTTTTCTGTATTCGGCTGAAAAAATATGATTCTAGATTGTTTCAACAAGTATTCGTTATGTAGTTATTCAAGTGGTTTTCCTGGTATGGTACTATGTGTTAGCAAACACAGAAATACTGGCAATCAAAGAAGTTTTTGAATTCCATCTTTTGAGTACATTCTAAAAATAAACTGTTATCCACGTTAAGCTCTTTAAAAAAATTATTATGAGCTAATGTGTTGACAGAGGGTACGGCTAAAATAATTGTGGGATGCATTCCCCTTTTATTTCAGCCCCTTTAATGTTTCACTGAACTTTGGAGTATTTTGAACTAGAAAGTTTCAAGATGCTGTTAAAAATCTAGCCAGATAAACTAATAAAAAACTTGCCATATGAGGGCGTTGCATTAAAAAATGATATCAATCTTCATTATTTCGAGGGTTTTATCTGGCTCCAGGGCTTCAACCACGGTAATGATTAAACCAGATAAATTATTAAAGTTTGATTTTACATCCAGCCGCCACACTGTCTACGGCACGATCTGGCTCCTACAGTCAGGCCGTCTGTAGTCGCGGGAACACAGAGTAGCTTCCCTTGAGCACGTACCCAGAATCCACCAGGTGAACGCCAAATAAAAAAGGTTGTCAGGTGAAGTTTGTGTGAGTGACATCCAATCTGCTGCTGTCTGTTTTTTTCTCCCGGGGGGCGTTTACGGCCAGTTAGAGTAGCACCAACCATATCGCGCATGCGCTGCAGCAGCCCGTTTTTATGGGATATATTTGTTTCGTTTCACAACTTCATTTGTGACAAAGTTTCTAAAATTGAAGATGCGCTACTTCAAAAAAAAAAAAAAAAAAAAACCAACTGAACAGTAATAGACTGATGGAAAAGTCTGCTAAGGAAAACTGTCCGAAACGCAACACCGACTTCAACTAAAGTGCTGTTAGCTAAACCTCGGTTAATGAAGCTGTTAAAAAAATAAGCAGCTGTACATTTTCAAGTTGTTTCCTTCGCTGTATGGCACATTCATATGCATTTGACATTCCATTGTTATCTTGATTCAATTTTTGACATCTAGGCCTTGACATTTAAGCCTTGACATTTAACTGTTGGCATCTAGGCCATAACATTCATCAGTTGACATCTAGGTCTTGACATTCAACTGTTGGCATCTAGAATATTTGAAAGGTGAATCTAGGCCATGACATCCAACTGCTGAGCATCTATCATGTCATATCTAGGCCATGACATTCAAATGACAATTATTGGCCCTGGCAGCAAACTGATGATGTCAATTCTTCATCATTCTTAATATATTTTTTACACTGAATGAATCACACATCAAACAAGACCAACTAGCAAGTTCCCAATACAATTTTCTCAGTGGGGTGTTTTGGGGCTAGAGTCTAGGTATAAGCTGCAGTCTTGTAGAACACATTCTGGTGCCATACCAAAAGGTTTGTGTCTATAACTTGTGTCTATAAGTTACCATAATGATGTCAAAGATTCTTGAGAACTTCATTAGCAGATCATACTTTTACAAGACAACATTCACCATATCAAGTAGCTCATCCATCACTTCAAAAACTCTGAACTTCAACAAAAAGCAACACAATTGTTTGGTGTTTTGTAATCAATTTTATGTTATGTTTTCAATTATTTTGTGCATAAACAGGATGTACAGTCCTCTGGGAGTTTAATAAAAAACTCACCAGTATTAGATTTTTTACAATTAGAATATTTTACAATTTTTGTAATGTTACAAAACGACATATTAATAACAGGGCATGGTTAAAAATAAATAAGTTTCATTGAATTACAAAAAGCAATAGATTGTATCAGTGAGTCAATGTTAAGGTTAAAGACATTTTTTAATAGAAAAACATTTTGCATAGATGAGTCTTGTATTTAATATATTTTAAAGATGTTATTTAAATTACAATATTTACTATTCAATAATACAGATATATTTTGTTCAAATGACAATACTTTGTCAAAATTTAGATAGGATAAAAAATAAGGCATTTCCATTTGTAACCAATCCAACATGATACATCAATATGGCAAACTGGACAGGAGATTTAAGGGAGGGCATTTTGATTTTTTAACTGTAGGAGAATGTTACAGTGTATGAGGCAAGAAATCAACACTTCAAGTCTTTAGAGAAATTTTAAGAAATGGAAAAGTGTGTTTATCAAACATATTTGTTCAAATAAAGATAGCGTCAACATTATGACCAACCTTCGCCTATCTCTCTAGCTCAAATTAATAACATGAATTCAAGTTTAAAGGTCACAGGGTCACCAGTTCATCAGATTTGTGCAATAGCCTTTGGGCTGTAACAAATGTTTTAATGACCCCAGGGTTAAAGGTCAGCATCACAAAGGTCACAGTGTCATCAGCTGGCTGCCTCTGTGTAGTAGCCATTAAAGTTGAGCTGTAGCAAAAGTTCCTGAAGATGTGGCTGGTAGCCTTTCTGTGACAGTCTGTTAACAACTGTGGTGTCAAATCACAATATTATTAGCCAAGTAGGAAGTAAAGCTTATTAAAAGTGACCCCCCCCCCTCCCCTCCACATTCTTTAATTTATTATAGCCACTTTGGTAACAGCCTAAACCAACATTCCTACCTTTAAACAAAAAGAAGCTGTAGACATGAAAAGACTGGTAAGTGTTGACCAGGGCAGCAAAGTTTGTGTGAGTGACCTGCCCTTGATCTCCCTGTTGCCAGGTAGCACTGACCAGCTGGGACCTGAACTTGAGGATCAGACAGAAAATGTCCTGGATGATCTTCATGACCCTCTCAGCCTTCTTGTCCAGCAGACACCTGCATGAGGGTAAGGTTATACAACATGGGTGATGGTGTGTAGTCATGGTGATTTGGGACTGAACCAAAATTGGGGAAACCAAATATAGCCTGCTATATTCTGTTTACGTCTAGATTATTTTTATGATTACTAAATTTGGTTTTATGGTTTCTATGAGAATCTGTTGAGTATAAGAAAGTATTAAAACTTAAAATAAAAACTGACTGACCTTGAAATGGCCCTGTCCACATAGCGCTCATGGAGAGTCCTCAGCTGATCCAGACCTGCGATTGGTTGAGCCAGGTCAGACTGGAACTCCTGCCAGGACACCAGGATGACCTGGTTGGTGATGTAGCCCTGCATCATCTTTACAAAGTGCTCCATCTCCTGGCTGAAACAATTTACACAAGATTTACATGTGATGTAACATCATCTTTACAAAGTGCTCCATCTCCTGGCTGAAACAATTTACACAAGATTTACATGTGATGTAACCCTGCATCATCTTTACAAAGTGTTCCATCTCCTGGCTGAAACAATTTACACAAGATTTACATGTGATGTAACATCATCTTTACAAAGTGCTCCATCTCCTGGCTGAAACAATTTACACAAGATTTACATGTGATGTAACCCTGCATCATCTTTACAAAGTGTTCCATCTCCTGGCTGAAACAATTTACACAAGATTTACATGTGATGTAACATCATCTTTACAAAGTGCTCCATCTCCTGGCTGAAACAATTTACACAAGATTTACATGTGATGTAACATCATCTTTACAAAGTGCTCCATCTCCTGGCTGAAACAATTTACACAAGATTTACATGTGATGTAACCCTGCATCATCTTTACAAAGTGCTCCATCTCCTGGCTGAAACAATTTACACAAGATTTACATGTGATGTAACATCATCTTTACAAAGTGCTCCATCTCCTGGCTGAAACAATTTACACAAGATTTACATGTGATGTAACATCATCTTTACAAAGTGCTCCATCTCCTGGCTGAAACAATTTACACAAGATTTACATGTGATGTAACATCATCTTTACAAAGTGCTCCATCTCCTGGCTGAAACAATGGACACAAGATTTACATGTGATGTAACATCATCTTTACAAAGTGCTCCATCTCCTGGCTGAAACAATTTACACAAGATTTACATGTGATGTAACATCATCTTTACAAAGTGCTCCATCACTGGCTGAAACAATTTACACAAGATTTACATGTGATGTAACATCATCTTTACAAAGTGCTCCATCTCCTGGCTGAAACAATTTACACAAGATTTACATGTGATGTAACATCATCTTTACAAAGTGCTCCATCTCCTGGCTGAAACAATTTACACAAGATTTACATGTGATGTAACATCATCTTTACAAAGTGCTCCATCACTGGCTGAAACAACTGACACAAGATTTACATGTGATGTAACATCATCTTTACAAAGTGCTCCATCTCCTGGCTGAAACAATTTACACAAGATTTACATGTGATGTAACATCATCTTTACAAAGTGCTCCATCTCCTAACTGAAACAATTTACACAAGATTTACATGTGATGTAACATCATCTTTACAAAGTGCTCCATCTCCTAACTGAAACAATTTACACAAGATTTACATGTGATGTAACATCATCTTTACAAAGTGCTCCATCTCCTCGCTGAAACAATTTACACAGGATTTACATGTGATGTAACCCTGCATCATCTTTACAAAGTGCTCCATCTCCTGCCTGAAACAATTTACACAAGATTTACATGTGATGTAACATCATCTTTACAAAGTGCTCCATCTCCTGGCTGAAACAATTTACACAAGATTTACATGTGATGTAACCCTGCATCATCTTTACAAAGTGCTCCATCTCCTGGCTGAAACAATTTACACAAGATTTACATGTGATGTAACATCATCTTTACAAAGTGCTCCATCTCCTGGCTGAAACAATTTACACAAGATTTACATGTGATGTAACCCTGCATCATCTTTACAAAGTGCTCCATCTCCTGGCTGAAACAATTTACACAAGATTTACATGTGATGTAACATCATCTTTACAAAGTGCTCCATCTCCTAACTGAAACAATTTACACAAGATTTACATGTGATGTAACATCATCTTTACAAAGTGCTCCATCTCCTGGCTGAAACAATTTACACAAGATTTACATGTGATGTAACATCATCTTTACAAAGTGCTCCATCTCCTGGCTGTAACAATATTTAATATCTTGCAAAAATTCAACAAAAGTTCTATAAAAGAAGCAAATACCAAATTACAATAGCAACGAAAAGATAAAAAGCACTAAAGATTGTAAATGTACTTACCGATGAAGCTGAAGGTGTCTAAACTGTGAGGTACTTCCTGCTTTGTGAATCAAGGCTAAAGCAAGGGAGACAAATGAAAAAATATTTAAAATTTAAACAGAGAAAAAGGTAATTTGCTTTTTACCCCACCTAAAAATTAAATTTTGTAAAAGTTGACCCAAAATTTTTTAATTTTATAAGCAAAATATACCTACGCTTGGTGCTTGTTTTATTGTAAATTTTTTCCCCCAAACTCACTTCAAGGTATTATAAATACTTTATTTTTGTTGTGAAAGGAAAAGTAAAATAAATGTTATTTAGCAGAAGTTGGGTTAGCATGAAAATAGAAGACACCATTTCAGACCTGAAATGGAATAGTAGTGTGAGATCTATGCCCAACAACCTTTACTATCCTTAACATAAGTCAGGTACCAATCAGACCTAGTCAGACCCAGGGACATCTATGTACTTGGGCAATGGACCAAGACCTGAGCCTTCAGGTTAGTAGGCAGGGTCTACCTCCCTGGCAGGTCATCCCATGGGTCAGCAAGCAACACTTTTACCTGTCTGACTTGACCAGTCTGACTTGACCAGTCTGACTTGACCTGTCTGACTTGACCTAACTTTACCTGTCTGACTTTACCTGTCTAACTTGACCTGTCTGACTTTACCTGTCTAACTTGACCTGTCTCAAGTTTTAAACCATGAACCCTGTGTCCATCAAGTTTTAAAGCCACAGAAGTTAAAAATGTGACTGACCGTCTCTCTTTAGCCTGTGCCAGACATCCTTCAGGACCCAGACCACTCTCTTGATCTGCAGCAGGAAGTCAAAGACGCAGTAGTACTTCTCCATGCATGAGCTGCTGAGTATGACACACAGTGGCCACGTCACCTATAGGACACAAGCAAGAACCTTAGCCCGACTGTGGAACTTGAAAACTACACACATGGTATAGAGTTTAAACCAGACAAGCAAACATTCATCTAGCCAAACCTTGTTTTAAACATACAGTACAGAAACTTACATTGTATCTCAGCTCCAGACACCGTAGAGAGTTGGGGGCTGAAAATAAATTTTGAAGTTTTCAAGTTGTATACTCAAATGATAAAGTTACCATTGGGGTTTAGAAATTTAAGACATACTTATTTAATGAAGTTTCTAATTGGGTTAAAATTTTTTACATAATATCTACTCAAATAATGAAGTTACAACCGGGATTAAAGCAAACAACTTTAAAGCTGGATGTTCTTTTATCTTCTTAAATTTTATTTGTTTTAACAGTAACTTTACCATTGAAGATGTATGTTGAATGTGAACATTCGGTGCGGAAATTTTTTTTTAGCACCAGGCATGGTTAATAAACTTTACCACTGAACATGAATACGAAACTCAAATATTTGGTACAAGAAGCAAAACTTTACCATTAGGCATGAGCACAGAGGGCATGAACTTGAGGGCGAAGCTGAGGTGTTTTGTGTACTCATCATCTGAATGTATGGAGGATCTGATGGCTTTGGTCAGGGCACCATTCAAAAATACAGGGTTTAGGATCTCTTGGGGCAGCGGGTTGGTGGACAGCTGAAAACATGGAGTTAAATAAAGATGATTTGAAAACCAACCAGTCCAAAATTATTTTACATCAAAACTAACAGAAGATCTGAATTTTCTTCAAACCCAAAGTAACCCTAACCCTTACTTTTTCTAACAAGATGTTGGCCAGAATTTCAGCAAAGTCCCCATCAGCCATAAGAAGATATCGCCTGATAGCTTCAAAGTGCTGATCAACCTTGAGCTCTGATGTAAAGTAGTTGATGATTGAAGTGTTGACCAGGGAGATCCTGTCAAATATAGGTTCAATCTCAACAACCACTACAATCAACATCATTGCTATATGGTGCTAATGAGCGGTTCATTTGTGAAGGTGTTTGAAGTTTAAGCTAGTGTGTATTGGAGTAATTAACAGTATGGGAGGATAAAATAAAAGATGTAATAAGTTGTTAGCTAGAACTGTGTTAATTCCTACTGAGCTCGTATGGGTGCTGCTATGGAGCGTGTGAGCAGGACAGGCAGTGGTGTGTTCTTGTAAGCCTCAACCTCATCCTCACTGGTGGCCACAGGACTGACCAGGTAACTGCCCAGGTCAATCACAACAATGCCGGACATCAGGTCTACACATGGAGCCTCATCTGGAGAAAGAATTTCTCATGCAATATGTTTGTGTCAGGTTGGTGCCCACATTTCCTATAGCAATAAAACAGTTCAGACAAGTCAGTACTCACCTAGCCTTGTGTATTCAGTCTGGTAATTCTCCAGTTGATAGGGCAAACCTGCTTGTAAAGTGATTCCCCCCAACTCACCATCTGAAGAAAAGGTGCCATCATTTCAATACAAATTGTCAGCAATACAAAAAACTGCTATAACCAGAAGCTAGTTAGCATGAGTTGTCCATATTAAAATCTAAGACTAACATCAAACTTTCAAACATTGTACCCAACATGTTTCAGAAGATTTATCTCTGGTAACTATTGATCATTTATAAACTGGTCAGATAAATCATTCACACTTAACACACAAATCATTCACTCGCAACATCCCACTTAACACACAAATCACTCACCTACAACATCCTCCTGGACTGTGTTTAACCTTCGAGCCTCCGGGTACAAAAGTTTCTGGACGGTGGAATCTGAGGAATGACCACTTGCATTGCGGGCTAAAAACTTCTGTCTGCGCACAACATTTTCATCAACCTGCTGGGACTCAGTGCTTGCATTACGATGTGCATAAGTGCGGATGTGTGAGCGCTGATCCCCTGAAACAGCTTGGCTTTCTTGAGATGCTGACATGGCTTTGTTCATGCGCACTCCAGGTTTGATCAAAAACTCTTTGTAGTCAGACTCCATGTTGGCATGTCTTTGGTTTTGTCTCCGGAGTTTTGGAATGGTGACGACATAATTGGCGTTGGACAGCTGAGAGACATGTCCAAACACGCTGGCTTTTTTAATCCCCCATAGTTTGGACTCTGTCTCTGAGGACACACCTTGACCACTGGATGACCGCTGCTTCCTGGGGATCATGGCTCTCTCCCCTACAGATTCCTGATTGACCTGTTTGCCAGCAGAGAACTTGAGATGAGGTTTGAGGGCTGCAGGCTGAGACTGTCTGGAGGCTGACATGGTGGAGGATGTCTTGATGTGCTGGACTGTCCTGGCAGGCTGGCTCTCCTGCAGGATGTTGGCCCCCTCCACCATCTTGATGCTGGGCTTGCTGTCCTCACTGGCGACTGTCTCCTCTGTGACGTGCTTGCCTTCAACTTGATGGGTGTGCTGGACAGCTGGTTCTTCTTCACTCTCTCTAGAAGGGTGGGAGGTCACTTTACTTTTCTGTATAGATTCCTCAGCTGATGTCTGACTGGTTACAGCCAGACCAGCATCCCCTCCCCTCAGGTTGTCTGTGCCTTGCTCTGCTGGATCAAACTGTGCTTCAGGCACATTATCCTCATCACTTCCATGGTCCTCTGTGATAAACATGGGATGGAAATTCTCAGGATAAACTGTTCTTTTAGCCCAGTTGGGTAAGGAACTGATGATATCTGGAGAATAGGAGTCCCCTCTCACAAGTGTGTAGTTATCTCTCAGGGCCCATGTTGGGAGAGTTACCTCCCCTTCATCTGTAACTTCTATTGTGCCGTCAGCTGAGCGCATGGCCCAGCTAGGGAGGGTGGGGGACAGTACAGCATCCACAACATCCTGTAGAGGTATCAAATATTATTGAACTCTACACTAAGTGAAAAATAAAACTGTCCTCAGCATTAACTTAGAGATAAAAACTAACCACTGTACTAACTTAAAGATAAAACACTGACCACTGCACTAACTTAAAGATAAAACACTGACCACTGCACTAGCTTAAAGATAAAACACTGACCACTGCACTAACTTAAAGATAAAACACTGACCACTGCACTAACTTAAAGATAAAACACTGACCACTGCACTAACTTAAAGATAAAACACTGACCACTGCACTAACTTAAAGATAAAACACTGACCACTGCACTAACTTAAAGATAAAACACTGACCACTGCACTAACTTAAGGATAAAACACTGACCACTGCACTAACTTAAAGATAAAACACTGACCACTGCACTAACTCATACAACTGACCTCTCCAAGATGGTCCTGGTATTCCTTACGCCATCTTTCAGCATCAGCCTTCAAGAAGAGATACCTGGCATAGCCAAGCTGATGTCGCCTGACCTTCCACAAGGCAACTCTCTCTCTGTGCATGGCTTCTTCCCCCAGCTCTGTGTAGTATGCCACCAACTCTTCCCTGCACAAACAAGTGGTTTGAAAAACTTAAATAGGATATTCTACCGTAACAACATACTTTTGTTGTACTCAACAGAAAACTAGCGAGTATAATAACCAACCTGGCTTTCTTTTCTAGCTCAACCTCCTGTTGTGAAAGTGCCTCCTCCTCTCTATTCAGCTGTGCCATGTATTGCTTGTCTCGTTCTTTTTCATCTTTTTTCTCATCTGAACGCCTCTATTTATTGACATTAAATTATACAATCAATCTTTATTTTCAATTCTTCATTTAGGTTAAGATTTTTTGTACAGACCAAAAATTGCAATTCAAATAGCATTGGCTGCTTTACACTATTTAGACTGAATTTAGTAAAACTAGAATTAAATTGAAATGTTTAGCTATTGCTGTTTATGAAGGAATACAAATCTGATGTATTAGCGATGAACCATCAAAAAAACGTATAGAAAGCTGGTACAAAAGTTTACTTGTATATCAGTCTCCATTTGTTGTTTCAGTCTGTCCAGTTCCACACGTTGTTTAGCTTTCACCCGCCTTCTCCTCTCATCAATTTGTCCTAACATACAAAAAAATTTTTAAAGTTAAAATTCAGTTTTCTTTCAAAATTAAATACAAAGTTTAAATACAGCTTTCTATCAAAGTTAATTACAAAGTTTCAAATCTTCTTCTTCTTCTTCGTTCTTAATTATTAGTGTTGAAGGTGATCGAGATTTATCTGCCAGTGGGTTTGAACTTTGTTCGAATTTATCAACCATGAACTTTTTGCCGACTCGACCACGCCTCCAACACAATTAAGCGTTACGTGTCAACTGGTTATGCGCCATTGAGGCCATTGACTCCGATTTCAGCCTGCTTTTCTTTTTGGATTTGCTTCCATAGCCTTTGTCCAACCAAGAACAAACTACAAGGCAGCAGTTGTTTAATTTTGGAGTTGTCTCTCCTAGAAGAGTGGCTGTCCCCAGCTAACGAGCCTCATCTGCCCGAGGGTTCGAACTCGAGACTTTTCGGTTTAGCAACCATGAGCTTTACCGACTCGACCACGCCGACCCCAAAAAGTTTCAAATAAATGTCAAACTTTTTTTGAAAATTAAAGAAAAAAATTTTGTTTAGTTAAATTACAAAGTTTTCTTTCAAGCTAAAATACAAAGTTATGAACACATTCGAATTAAAAAAAATTTTGTTAACGATTTAAAAAAAAGAAAACTGTAAAGTTTAAAAAACAAATCTGTTTTAACTAAATTCAAAGCTGCCATAGAGTTCCCTCCAATAGAACATAGGGGAGACAAGAAAAGTTTCCTACCCTGTAGTCGTTTGATTTCATTCTCAGCCATTTGTCTGGCAGTTTGCTGCAGCTCCAATTTTTCTCTCTCAATTCGCTCTAAAATCTCCTGCCTGATATTAAAATAAATATACACGTCTAAAACCTCCTGCCTGATAGATGTATTAAAATAAATTTAAATCTCTAAAACTTCCTGCCTGATATATGTATTAAAATAAACGAGCCAGCCCGCTGCATAACATACGCCGCTATATAGTTGTTTCTAATTTTCAATAATTCATAATTTGTGAATTCGACAGTACCAACGCTGACACTGAAAATATTTCTTTAAAACACTATAAGTAGCTCGTTAAGGACCATAACCCCCCCCTTCCTTCCCCCCCCCCTCCCCCCCCCCCCCCCTACGTTTAAAATCGTTGGCTCTGCTTGTAAATAAACATTTAGAGTGAACACAGCTCACTAAAACCATGTAGAGGTGGGGAGGTAGGGAGAGCGTTTGCAGCTTGTTTTCTAACGGCTCGAAGAGGAGAATTATATATATAGATATACATCTCTAAAACTTCCTGCCTGATAGATGTTTTCAAATAAATATACATGTCTAAAATCTCCTGTCTGATATATGTGTTTAAAAATAAATATACATCTGTAAAACCTGACTGATATTAAATTTAAAAACAAATATACATTAAAAGGGAATAATAAACATATACATTTTAGTTTAAAGAAAATTCAGGCCAACCTGTCAACTGTAATTTGCCTGGCAATTTGTCTCATACGAGCCACATAAACCTGACAATATCTTTCTGTTATCTTTAAGTCTTTTTGAGAAAATGTGATGGTGACTGGTGGGATGTCACTTTCAGTAACATTACACATGAAATGCTGACAATATGAAACAAATATATGTTAAATCAGATGAATTATCTCAAGAACTATTATATGTATTGAACCATAACATAGATACAATAATAGATACAATAAGTAAAAGAAAACAGTTTCCAGAAGCTAGAGAGTTCCTAACCTGAGGGCTGCAGATACGTAACAAGTTGATAGACTTGCCACAGGTGACAATGTCATTAATAATTTCTCTGAGAAATTCTGGAATTCCATCTTCCACATAGTTGGGAGACAAGCTGTAGGCTCTGGTCCAATAGGTTTCATCTGCATCAAAACATTTCAAAATCTTTTTAGCCCATGTAGGAAAAATACAAGGTTTTAATATGTATAAATTTATATTTTTTTTAATCCTTAAGATATGATATAAGCCATATAGGAAAATATAATTTTCTGATTGGTCTACCTCTTGCTTCCAAACAACTCAAATCAATCTGAATCATGAACTCTTCATAATAGTCCCTGTGGACACCATGGAATACCCAATTTCTGATAAACCTGAAATAGAAAACATAATTTTAAATCAGGTTAATATTAGTAACCCTAGCAATTAAAATCTAACTATCAAAGTGTAAAGAATGAAATCTTAGACCAACTTACAACATAAAAGGTGTCCATGAGGTCTGAAGTATGGACAGCAGCATGGAGTAGTGGGGGGAACTGGAGGAGACTGCAGCCTCAGCATACAGGTAGGACAAGAGTTTCATCCCCTGCAGCAGGAGAGAAGGGGAGAGCAATGAGATCAACAGCTGATACAATCAGACTTGATGTAGCATTTACAAACATGTTAGAGATGGAAAACAAAGAAAGGCAGAACTCACTGTTGGAAAATTTCCAGGTGCCACATGGGGAGGAGGCTTGTCATGACACTGGCACAACTCTGCTAAATACCTGGAGTTTAAAATAATAGCGTTTTTTTAAAGGTTTTTTTCAACATTAATATAACAATTGAACACAAATAGAAATCAACATGTTATTTTAACAAATACATAAATTTGCAATAATTAAAATATTGAAGATATTTTTGTTTGTTTTTCTAGATTCAATCACGTACTAAATGTAAACACTAGTTTTTTATAAGGCCAGTTGAACATGATAATATAGAAGATTTGGTTATTACAATACTATATTATTTTTTAAAAATCACACTGTTTATGCTTTTTTTTGTTCTAATTTCAAATTGTTAAAGGAAACAAACAATAATTTTTTAAAAGACATGCAGTAAATACCTGATCTGCTGCATGGCCTTATACATGTGAACCTTCAGCTGCAGTAGCTGTATGTCATGTGCTATACTGAGAATGGCTGCTGTATAATGGTTCAGCACTTTCCTTATGGCCCCTGTAAAGGCTTGGAATATGAGACCCCCTGTGTAGAATGAGTTGAGCACGGGTGGCTGAGAAAAATGGGTCAGTCGCACGTAAAATGTCCCACAGTGTAAAAATTCAGTCAGAAAATTTTTCAGCATTTCTGGAGATATTCCAGACACATGGAGGCCATCAACAACATCAAAACAACTGGTGCTCTGAAATATTTTAAACTGCTGATGTAGAAACCAGTTTAGTCATATAACTACAGTCAATAATTCATCAATATTTTATCATCAAAACAACTGGTGCTCTGAAATATTTTAAACTGCTGATGTAGAAACCAGTTTAGTCATATAACTACAATCAATAATTCATCAATATTTTATCTCAAAACAACTGGTGCTCTGAAATATTTTAAACTGCTGATGTAGAAACCAGTTTAGTCATATAACTACAATCAATAATTCATCAATATTTTATCTCAAAACAACTGGTGCTCTGAAATATTTTAAACTGCTGATGTAGAAACCAGTTTAGTCATATAACTAAAGTCAATAATTAGTAATTAATATTTTATCCAATTTAAAAAGTTGGAAGAAAAAATTGTTTTCTAGAATAAAGTAGCTTAGCAGCAAACAAAACCATTTGTATAAATAGTAAAATGGATACTAACGTGATTGAATGAGAAACTGTTGGATGGTACACCAATAAGCATGAGTAGAATATGTTGAACCAGCTTGTCAGGCTGGACAGTCACTAGAGGAACAACATCAGTATCTGGACACAGTATGGTGGACACCCGCAGCTTTAGCCTGATCAGAACATCAAACGCAGCTGGTCCTGCTTCTGTCAGGAATGGCTTCTCTGTTTTTCCAGGCTGACTGATGGTAAAATGTTACAGTTTGTCTTAGGCTATACCAGTAACAAAGCAAGGCAAGATGGGGAAATTGTTGCACCCTACCTAGTGACATGATTGGGTTCGATAAGACAATGGTATAATTATGAGTAAACTCATGATAGGCTAATTGTTGATTTTTTATCTTTAGTCAAAGACAGAAAATTGTATAAAGTAAATGTAAAAATAATGTCCTACTATCCTATCCACTCCCAGGTGTAGTGATTGGACCTGGGGTCAGTCAGAGCTTTCTCCCAGATGCTGTCGTCATAGCCACTGTGTCCTTCCATGGTGAGTACAGAGCTGGACATGGAAGCGCTGCCACTGCCCAGACCAGACTCTTCTGACATCTGGGGAAAAGTTATCTGACCATTCATTAGCTGGACAAATAGAGCAGGAACAATGTTTACAGATGTTTCTTAATGCCACACCTCCTCACCCCTCCCTACTAGATACAATCCTTTCCTTACCCAGTGAGAAACTAAATCCCTATTGCCTTTAGAAAGGCTTGTGAGAGAGATAACAATATAATTTCTAATAAATAGTTCAATAATTGACTGTTACCTCAGTTAGTGAAGAAGATTTTCTTGGCTGAAGCTCTGGGATTCTAAAGAAAATTATAAAAATTAAAAGTGGTTAGCATTATTCACCAAGATCCCTTAAACTTTTGTAAACACAACTCATATCTTATATCCACTGGCAACTGGTCTAATGGCTAGTGAAGGCTGATGAATTTTAGATAACTCTTACAAAATTGTACACTTTCATATGGAAGCTATGCAACAAGTATAATCTAGTATTATGATGTATAATATATACCATTATTAAGTTGTTAAAAATGAATTATGATTATTTCTAAAAAGGTATATATTAATACATTTCTAAAATATCTTTAACCCTGACTAAAATTGTAAAAAGAAAGTATTTCAAATCCTTTACTAAAAAACTCTTCATAGGATCAATTAAGTTTTTACAACATCAAGTCTACATACTACAATACAGATGTATTAATTCACTTAATCTGTCATGGGATCAATTAAGTTTTAAAACAAAAAGTCTACATACCACAACACAAATGTATCAATTCACCTAATCTGTCATATGATCAATTAAGTTTTACACCACCAAGTCTATATACTACAATACAAATGTATCAATTCACCTAATCTGTAATATGATCAATTAAGTTTTACACCACCAAGCCTACATACTACAATACAAATGTATCAATTCACCTAATCTGTAATATGATCAGTTATGTTTTACAACATCAAGTCTACATACTACAATACAGATGTATCAATTCACCTAATCTGTCATGGGATCAATTAAGTTTTACAACATCAAGTCAACATACTACAATACAAATGTATCAATTCACCTAATCTGTCATATGATCAATTAAGTTTTACACCACCAAGTCTACATACTACAATACAAATGTATCAATTCACCTAATCTGTCATATGATCAGTTATGTTTTACAACATCAAGTCAACATACTACAATACAAATGTATCAATTCACCTAATCTGTCATACAATCAATTAAGTTTTACACCACCAAGTCTACATACTACTATACAAATGTATCAATTCACCTAATCTGTCATATGATCAGTTATGTTTTACAACATCAAGTCAACATACTACAATACAAATGTATCAATTCACCTAATCTGAGGATCCAGTGAAAGGTCAGGCAGCTGTAGTAGCATATTAAGGTCAGTAACTCTTCCTTGCATTAACCCACCAAACAAAGAATTGTGAGTTATGTGCTCATGACAGTCATCCAGTAAAAACTGCAAAAATATACAAGGAAGAGTTATATATAATATTTTCTGTATACACATTACCATTACATTTGTAGTGACAAAATATCACTTATTTATGTTACTGTCACATTACCTTTGTAGTAAAAAAAAATATCACTTATTTATGTTACTGTCACATTACCTTTGTAGTAAAAAAAAATATCACTTATTTGTGTTAATGTCACATACCTTTGTAGTAAACAAAAATATCACTTATTTGTGTTTTTGTCACATACCTTTGTAGTAAAGAGACAGTCCGGCCCCAAACCTTGTCCAGGCAGGGAATCAAATGCCTGGGGAAGTTTTTATTTAATGTTGTAATGACAAGTTAAACATGAACAACAGTGCACACACAAATAAAGAAAAAATAACTGGCATACTCACAGAATAAATTTGCTTCTCGTTTGTCATCATCACAGTTGGGAAAGGTTTCTCAAACACCTCCCTAAACAAAAGTAAAAAGGACAAGCTAGACTGGATCATAGAGCAGTTATAATGTAACACTAAGCATGCAGAAAATAAAACCACATTTTAAAGAGACAAAATACAAATAAGTCTGCTTAGTTGCAAGCTACATCATAGAGTAAAAAAAGGCCAAGTTATATCCAACACTGTGTAAGAAGCAGAGCTAATGATATTAAAGATGTGCTGGAGTAAGAAACAATACCTGGGATAATGCAAATAATAGTGGCCAGAACTGAGGGACATTTTTAAATCTCCATAACACAATGGCTGTGAGAAATAGTGCTCCACATTCTGAAAAAAGTAAAACAACACATAATGCTGAAAAGTATAAATATTTGGACAATGATTTATTTTATCAACAGCTGTCTATATTAAAACATAATATGGTTAAAAAATAAATATTTAATTTAATTAGATATCAGTTTATTTGTTTGAGTTAGCTAGCTTGCACAGGAGACCTGAATAATTAAAATGCTATATGAATGTCGCATTTAGGCGCCTAAAAGTTATCATATTTTACCTTTTCTTTTTTTGTTTTAGGAAAATGAAAGCCTGCTTCCTGTGTCTGTGGTGAGTCATTGGTGTCTTTTAATGCTATCAAAAACCTTAAAACATGCCGAATTTCTGTATTGTCTTCTGAAGGAAAGATAAAGTACAACATCATCAAATTAAAAAATTTGAATTTTTGCAACTATAAAATGCCTTTATTACGGGCAAACAAGTGTGAGTGGAAAATAATTATCCTCTTAACACCTTGAGTTATGTAAAAACTATTTGTGAGGTTTTTCTTTGATAAGGAATTAGTGCAAATTACCAACTGTTAATACAATAACCTGCCTTATCTCCCATGTCACCGTCTATTACACTATCAGAGTTGTCTGTGTTTTGTTAAAACTGTGATGTACTATCCTTCTCATTGGTATTCCTCATTTATTAATTACATTTAAGTAAACATCCTATTGGTTTAAATAAATATAGAATAATTTATACAGTGGTACCTTGACATATTGAGTGCCCCGACATAAAACATTTTTTACATCTGAGCTGTCAAGTGAGCTAAAATTTGCTTTAACATACAAACAAAAATTTTGAGATACGAGAAACCGGATTAGCTGATTTAAAAGTTCACCCTGGAAAAGTTGCAGAACAGGGAGGAAAAACAAACCTTAGAAAGGTTTATTTAAATGGGTGTTAAAAGTGGGGAAAGGGAGGAAAGTGTGGCAAACAAAGGTTAGACCAGTGTAGAGAAAAGCAGTGATAAAAATTAAACAAAATGAACAAAACATATTGTAACATTTAGGGTCAATTATAGTTGGTAAAATTTAAGTTCTGTTAAGTTTAGGGATAAAGTAGAGCATTTTGAGTGTAATGAGCAAGTAAATAAAAGTGACAGAAAGAGCTTAGCATTAAGAGTAAGTGAACAAAGTGAAGCTCAGCGTATCTACTCCACCCTACACTGAGACAACACCTCTACCACCATCTTCAGTAAGCTCAAGTCAGCTGATTTTTAAATTAAATACAGTTTATAAAACATGTTTTACGGTTTATTTATTTGCATAATCCTTTACTATGTTATTACACAATGTTTTTCATGTAGACTATAATAAACTTTTCTTGTTTAAAATTTGTTTATCCAAAACTGGAGTGGCATTTTGAAAACTTGAACGGATTAATGGCATTTCAATTAATTTCAATGGAGAAAATTGCTTTGAGATACCAGCAATTTGACATACAAGCAATGTTATAAAACAAATGAAACTCATATCTTGAGGTACCAATGTACTGCATTGTCAGGTTCATAATATGAGGTCATTAAAAATATATATGACTTTAGTACCTAGTTGCAGTTGATTAAACAATGATTCTAGCCTATCTGCCTCATCATATTTTCTTTGAAGGCGTAGTTTGTAAAATTCTAGTAAAATAGTTTCAACTTCATGGTCACAAACTGTTTTATCATCACTGCAAATGGAAGAAAAAAAATTGTTATGACAGCAAAACTAAAATAAAGGTAATGGATATTGCATAAAAATCTGGCAACGTAAGATCCTATGTCACCATGTACATCTGGGGTTATTTTGTGCTCTTTTTACCTATGCCCAGCCCTTATGAATAAAAAAAAGTTACCTGTGCAAACCTGAAAAGATGAAGTAGACCTCACCTGTTTCTGTGATCTGGGCATAGGAAGGGATATTGTAATAAGCACTAGATCTATACCCAGTTGCCTTTACTTTCCAATGTGAGTTAAATACCCATCAGAGAAGGGTGGACCCACATATATCCTTCGGACTGGAGCCCGGGATCAGAACACAAGCAGCCATACACTCTAATAGGTAATTTACTGTTTCACTTGAAAACATCTAAAATAATGCACCAAGTTAAACTTACACTTTTTTGTCAAATAAATATGAAAATAATGCATTAAATGCCAAGATTTTCAATCTTTTCTTGGAATCACTTCTGCTAATAGTAGGCTGTTGTCTGTAAGCTCTTTGAGCTGGTCCTATGTGAAGGTTGCACAGTCTACTTATCAATTCCAGAACACTTGTTTCGTTCATCTAGAATATTAGATATAAATTGAATATAAAACTAGAGTACTTTTTAAAAATGTACATAATTCAAATTATTAAAATTGTACTAGGCAATGCAAAATAAAATCTGTTCTCTATGCTTCTGAGAGTGACACAAACTAATTACTAATACTAACAAACTCCAGACCTACACAAACGGATGCATACATTATAATAATATATTGAACATCAGCTGGTCTGATAACATTACCAACATAATGGTATTAATAATGATTTGCAGTAAATAATCATTATCTTCTTGTGTGAAAATCATATTATAATGGTTCTGTTTTTTGACCACTGTGATGCTGATGCACGGTTCATTTTGTACACTAGTAAAATGTATACTTTTGTTCTGAATCTGAAAAATATCATATTTTATTCCTATTACAAATAACTAAATGACTATGCAGAGCAAACTGCATACCGCCCAGCCTTCCCAAGGCCCTAGACTAAGCGCAGTAGATGTGTATGTGCATGCACCAGAATTCTTTGTGCTTGACATTCAACTTTTTCATGTTGTGGTTACAATTCAGGTGGTCAAAGTGGTTGCACATCAGTCAGCTTGTTTTCCTGATATGGCTTCAATTCCTTTTGGCTCTGAGTTTTTTTTTTTGCTCTTGTCTTTCTTATTTTACTTCATAAATAAAAGCTGCTGTTGAACTTTTGGAGGGTTACAATAAAGGTTTAGGCTTTAGGGTTGCCTTAAAAGCAATTGGATTTTTCAAAGGGGGGGGGGGGGGGTGGAAAGAGATTCATGAATGGAAATCTTGTCAATGAGGATTACTATTACTAGATTTGACTAGTGACTAGATCTAGATCTCTTGATCTAGATAGGCCTACTACATTTTCTTACTACTAAAACTAGTTGTAGTTATCTACTATCTAGTAGTATCTTCATCTAGATTCTAGACAAGTGGTTCTTAGTATAAACCTTTTTGAAGTATGAAGGCACCAAACGAGCATTTACAGAACCTTCTTAATAATTTATAGCATTATTTATAGGCTGATTCTAGCCAGAATAAACTATGCATGTGCAGTGAAAAAAATACTCCCTTCATATCATAGTAATAGTAATGTTTGCAATGTTCTGTGCATTGGTATACTTTATTATTATAATACTAATAATTTTGCTGTCTGTCTATCTATCTGTCTGACAAGAACGCTCTAGAGAAAACACAAGCAATTTAAAAACTTTCACAGTGAAACGAAAACGAAATATGACGTCACATTTAGCATAGAGTAGAAAATAATATCAAGCCGGAGAGTGCACACAGTAATATGACGTCATTAATTCTCGAGTAAACATTGAATAAAAGACAATTTTGTCTAATCTAAGTGGTTTGCGTGAAGAGTTTCTTTCATACAATTCTTCGGGTAGGGGCGAAGCCCCACCCCCGCGTAAGAACATCTGAGCCCCCCCCCCCCTCCCCAACTCAAAAGAAATTTCTTCATCGATACTCTATAATAAAATTACCGCCTAATTAATGTGTCTAATCTAAAAAGTGGTTTTCTTGCAATTTCTTTAATGCAATTCTTAGGGTAGTGGCTAAGCGCGACACCAGTGTTTCTTTCAGACTTTTTCCTCCCCGGAGGGGGGAACTTTTTCTAATCTAAAAAGTGTTTAGCGTGCAGTTTTTTTTTCAAGCATCTCTTCCGTTCGCCCCGCCCAGATTCTTCCTTTAGTTTGTATGATCTACAAATGCGACCAGTATTTCTTTCAGACTTTTTCCTATCCGGCGAGGTGTGGGGGTAGTTGAATTTTTTGGGGGGCGGGGGTAGAATTTTCTGGGAGGGGGCGGACACTGGAAAAAGTATATAATTATAGTTCCTTGAATGGGACGGTAGACATGTTTTGGGGAGTGGGGGGGGGGGAGCCCCCTCCTCCCAAGTAGAGTTGCCTGAAAGAAACTCTAAATGCGACTTTTGTCATGAATGAGATTAGGTGCATGGTTTAGGGATACGCCTATGACTATATTTTGTATAAATTAAAGTACCAATTCTGGATAAAAATCCGTTTTCTATGTCATTTTTTGTTTCCGGTTAAATTGAATTAAGATGGTGATTTTGGTTTTAGTTTTAGTTTATAGAGAATAGACAGCACTATCAACCTAGCGCCCATTGTATCCTTCCTCAACAGGCCATTTTTCTCGTTTACTAATATTTACCCTAATGCAAAATCCTATCGCCTTATCCTATAGATCTAGATCTAATACTTACTAGATCTAGTTGTAGATTACTGTAGTACTACTAGTACTACTAGACCTACTACTACTTAGTAGGGGCCTACTTACTAGATCTAGATCTAGTATTTAGTGGGGAGTTTTTTAAGTTTGTTAGAATCATCATTTATTAATTATTAGTATTAATTATAGGCCTAACAATATCCTAATATATAAATCCCCACGTTCGCACATCTCTCTCTCTCTCTCTCTGTCTGTCCGCAAAATATTTTCGCCGGACATCACGTCAGAAACGGCAGCGATATATGCAGAACTTTATACGGACTTTTGTTGAAAATAATATGTTAGATGTTTTAAATGTATAACCACAATTTTAGTTAAAGAAGAAAAATAAAAATTAAAGGCGTATTCGAATGTAGAGAAACAGTATTATTTATGCAACCGGAAAAGCATTAATATATGTGAAAAAGAACGCATAAAACTGTGACGTCACTATTGCTTATACATTAACTAATGACGTCATCTGCCGTGTTTAGAATGAAAAGAAGTGAACTATTTCATTCAAATTTGATTTAGATCTACGTACACTATGAAATGTATACAATACAATTTTTCCGGCCTAAACTCATAAAATTTATTTTATGTATTTGGATTCTAGATCTAGACTAAATCTAAATCTAAATCTAGGCAATAACTAGATCTAGACGTAGACGCTAACTAAGATCTAGATTTAGACTCTAACTTCTCTAAAATCAATTCCAAAAATAAATTTCTATATTAGGACTAAACTATTTCAAGACTTATTTATTTTATACAAAATCTTTGTTTGGAACTGGCTAATTTGGGATAAAAAATTAATTTGAAAGAATAGGCATATTCGCGTAAGTTAAGATTTTAAAATACGTGTTTCATTCTCCGTATTTTATAAGATGCCTAAATAGCGGAGATGTTAGTGTACATTAAACCACGCAGGTGGTGCGGGTTCGAGACACAGCAAGTCAACTTGGTTAATGTATTCTTTTTTATTATGCTCGGGCTAAACTTAAAAAAAAATTCTATTAGGAATCTAGATCTAGATCTAGATTGTCGGGTGTCCGATAGCGCACTTCCCGGCGCCGCAGGCGCTTCAAATTTGGCATGATCTTGCCTTGGTGCGACAGAACACGGGGGCCGGTTGGCCGAAAAGTCTACGATGTGGGGGTCAAAACTGACCTCGACTGACCGGTACCTTATATGAGCTATAAATCGAAAAAAAATGTCCACGGAGGAACCTCTTCATAACTCTTGAGGTCGTAGACCGACCTTCGGGCGAATTAATTAAGCATTCAAATTCTCAATGTTTTCGAAAGCCTAAGCGAAGCTGGGCAGCATGCCTAGTTAGATTAGAAAAGTGATTAGATTAATACTGAAATAGATCTAATCTAGAGACTAGTGACTAGATCTAATCTAATATTAATAAACTATAATCTAGATCTAGTCTAGATTTCTAGATATTAGATATCTTTGTGTTTTTTTCATTCATCGAATTCATCAATTCATTTTTTCAACGACGAGTTTTTACTTGAAATGATTGGAAACAATACATCGAGCGAGATCGAGATCGATATGAAAATGAATTTGAAATGAAATGGAAAAAAAATTGTCTCACTGACAGTGAACAAAAACTTACTTTACTTCAAATGAAAAATTTCCATGAGATTCTAGATATACTAGATCTAGATCTAAATAGATCTAGAATTAAAAACAAAAGGATGATCTTTATTCTATAAAGATCTGTGTGCTATTTTGAATGCTGCTTCTCAAATATTATTATCTAAATTTAGAAATGGAAATCGAAAGTTGAAAGTAAAATACACACTTCTTGTTGAAATTAGGAACAAAATAATAATTTATTTTCCATTGCAACTGTTTGATGAAAATACATTTTATCATTATCTCTTGATAATATAGTAATCTGATAAAAACTGATGTTTTTTTACAATAAAGAGTTGGTAGTAGATAGGCCTATAGGTCTACTTAAACTTTAAAAGTAAGAATAATTAAAAATTTATGCTGTGGCTGTGAAAATATTGTTTTTATTTTAGATTGTTTATCGCGTGAAACAACGAGAACTCCACGCGTAAACTAAGATGGCATCCTACTAAGAAATTTGCGATCTATGCAGGCGTATCAGTTTACACTGTTTATGAAACCCAAATTAAAAAAGTTTTAGATAAACCCAAGAACTTATTCCTTATATATTCATCCTCTGAGATAGATCTAGTAAATGAGTAGATCTATCTTATATTTATAGCAGATAACCCACAGAAATGGGACTATGTAAATGTCCCAAACGAAAAGTAACAAATCTTTTCTGTTTTGAACACCGTGTTAATGTCTGTGAACACTGTCTAGTGGCGAATCATGCCAAGGTAAGAAATTAATGATGACTTAATTTTAAAAAGCATGTTAACTATGACTAGATCTATGTCAATATAGCATTGGTAATTATTTTGGAATTGTGTTCGGGTGTGGTACTTGAGTGTGAAAGACTGCAGCAAGAAGAGTCAAGACTAGTCAAGAGTATGATTATATTTAGAATTTAGTAGGTACTAGGATTGGCCTCCCGATTCTCGCTGAGCGGCGTATTTTTTCTCCCGTTACCGACAGGTTTGCGTGTGCGGCTACGCGAATTCGACGGTTTAGTAAATTTTTTTCCTCTCCGTTATTGAACGGTCAAATTTAATGTGAAAATTGTTTTTCTACTTAAAAATGGACTTTGCCTGGTTTTTTATATTTTGTTTTTATTTTCATGGATTATTCAAAATGGAGCTTTTCATTGAAAATAAGGTAAGTTTGATTTATTATTTAAAATTAACTATTGGACGCATGTCTTTTTTTATTGATTGCTAGAGTCCCTACACCATTTTCCTCTATCATACTGAAATTTGAAAGAGTTTGGATGCAGCTCATAGAAGTTATATGCTGCACAGTGGGGTGTATGGTTAAGCGCTGTCTAGTGCTTACTTAGAAAGCGAAAGTAAAAAACCGGAAGGTGTCGGGTCTCTTTATTTCTTAATACTTTACGCTTACACGAGAGGGGGATGATTGTGTGATGTGTAGGGTCTACTGTATTGTGGATGGGGAGAGAGTGGGGGGGGGAGCTTGACTAATTGCATGACGTCATATGGTGTTAAGCGTAAGCATGTGTAAAGATGGCTATTAACTAGGAAATTATGTATTAGATTGTGGGCAAGATAGGCGTATCAACTTTGTTGTTTTTTATTTTATATTTGGAACAGTGTAATTTGTTAACTTATTTAATATTATTGTAGTTTTTAAATATATATATACAAATCGTATAGGCCCTAGCGTGTTTTATTTTTTTAACTGTGTTCACTGGGAAACGGTCAATGACCGTCCTATTTGACGTCACAGAATTACGGGTGAAAGTGAGGTCAAGTTTTGGCTTTTTCTGATGTGCTACGTGCGTGAGGGTTGAGTAAATGTAACTTAGTAAACATCGGTGGGTGATACAACTTGGTGACGTCATTTATGGACATTTTTTTTTCGCTCGCTGATAGATACAAAGACTTTACTACATTTTTAAGTTTCTCACCACATGTGTTTGAATGTAAACTTTGTAGCGCCGTGCAGTTTTTGTGTTATCACTGTAGCATGGGCGGTAAAGCTGTTTTATCGTGAGCATTAATGACCACGTGCCTTATTGATGAGCGGTTTTGTCGGGGATTTCACATTTTCAGTGTCGGTTTTGTCGGGAATATCAATGTCGGTTTTGTCGGGGATTTGAATGTTTTGACGCCGACGCGCGTTGTTTTGACGCCGGCGATAGTGGCGATCATTGTTTTAACGCCGGCGAGCGTTGTTTTGACGCCGGCGATAGTGGCGAACATTGTTTTGACGCCGGCGATCGTGGCGATCATTGTTTTAACGCCAGCGAGCGTTGTTTTGACGCCGGCGATAGTGGCGAACGTTGTTTTGACGCCGGCGATAGTGGCGAACGTTGTTTTGACGCCGGCGATAGTGGCGAACGTTGTTTTGACGCCGGCGATTGGGGCGAGCGTTGTTTTGATATTGACGGTAGTGGGGTGGGGGAGGGGGGGGGGGAGAAAGGAAGGTCTTGTAATAACAATACACATTAAATATTTGGTGTATTCAGAAAGCCTTTTTATTTTGATGGGAAGGCAAATAATGTACTTGTACTGTTTACTTTTCCAGATAGAACCTACACTTCTAAACCAGCACATCTCTACAATATGATGAGCAGTTATATGGCCTAATGAGGGAACACTATGTAAAAGAGGAATTAAAACTGTTAAAATAAATAATGTGTTCATCTTTTATTTAGGCAAACTAATTAATTTGTGATATGAACTATATCCTTTTAAAACCAACCAATGTTGAACTTCTCCTGAAATGTAATATATTAACGAATAGGCAGAAACACATATATTTTTAATTAAACTATTTATATAAGTATATCAACAAGTTTATTACATTTATTCCAATAAAACACCTTACATTTCTAAAAGATTTAATTTGCCTTCATTTTTTAAAATTTAAATATGTGCGCTCAGTTTTCAATGTTAGGTGTGTCGATGACTCAGCATTTTACATTTTTACCATCCTTTACCTATTTGTCAACTATTTAGATAGAACCATCAAACACGCTTATCTTAGAGCTTCACTTTAGTTAGTTGTTAGCTTTAGATTCAAATAGATTGAGCCTAAACAAATAGTGTATGAACAAATTTCGTATTTAAAAATAGGGGGTTTACCCTGTTCCACCCCTTATTTTTTGTCAAACAGATAGATTTAAACATATATTTTGATTGTTTCTGTTTGAGAATAGAGTCATCTAGAGCCAGACAAATTTTGAGACTTAAGTGCTTAATAACTCAAATTTGCCATCATGTTGAATTTAACATCAACAAGACTTTGGATTTGCGAAATGGCATAATCTATCAGCTCTGTAGCAGTTAAAACAAAAATCTTTTCAGTTATGAATATTATTTTGATTGTAATAACTGACACATCCATAGCTCATCATTCTCAGCAAGTTTGAGCTTAATTTTTCAAAGTGTTAAAATTTTAACTGAGATTTTATGAATGCACTGTATATGAAAAAATAGGGGGGGTACCCTGTCCTGGGACGGAGTGGTCTAGTGGTAGAGAGCTGGATTGCTAACCCGTTAGTCTCGAGTTCGAATCCGGGTTCAAGTCAGTAGACCGTCCCTGAGTCCACCCAACTCAGATGGGTACCTAACTCACGTTAGGGGAAAGTAAAGGCAGCTGGGCATAGTGCTGACCACACTATCTCTTCATATGCCGAGGTCACAGAAACAAGTGAACTCTACTTCACTTGCCCCATAGACCGTCAGGTTTGAAAGGGAAACTTTACTTTTACCCTGTTCTACTTCTGTTTTTGTTTTACTCTGCCCATAAATTTCTAATTTTATTGTTTATTATCCTTCCATATATGATAGATAAAGATATTGCAAAATTATAATCAATTTGACCATATGGTTTACAAGCTAGGACAATTTTAGTAAACGCTTAAAAAAACTCTAACACAGAAATTGGAAAAAATCATAACTATTTAACCGTTTGAGCTACATCAAAAAGGAAAACTGATCTGTTATTGTAATTTTTTGCTCCTTTTAACTGTAGTGGTTGTTTTCCTATTAAACCAATTTTCAAAATTTATCCTAGTACCTAGAATTTAGTTATTTAGAGTAGAGTAAGAGTGTAAATTTAATAAGTCACATAACCTATGCCATTAACAGTAAACCATTAACATTTATCAACACCATTTGTCAAAGTCTAATTTAAAATACACAGGCATTACCACAGGGCATTTTAAACTATTGTAATATTCTTAAACCACTATGTCTTAGTATATAGGATATTATTATTATATGGTAATTGGCCTAGAATCTATATGTAATACAAACACCGTCAAATTTTTAATAGCTAAAACTTCTGAAAGCATAAGCAACAATGGTCACATCATATATTGCAAAAACAAATTCAGCAATTTGCTAACTTTGCTTTCTAATTTGCTTCATGTTGTTTTTTGTTTTTTTTTGCTTGTGTTGAAATAAACTTAAAACTATTAATTACTGCGCTTGTCTTTATTAGTTGTTTAACTGGGCCTATAGTTTACAGTATCAGTGTTTTTATGGGTCGGCGTGGTTGAATTGGTAAAGCTCATGGTTGTTAAATCAAAAAGTCTCGAGTTTGAACCCTCTGGCAGATGAGGTTCATTAACTGGGGCAGCCACTCTTCTAGGAGAGACAACTCCAAATCAAACAACTGCTGCCTTTTAGTTTGTTCTTGGTTGGAAAAAGGGTATGGAAGCAAATCTAAAAAGAAAAGCAGGCTGAAATCCGAGTTAATGGCCTCAATGGCGCATAACTAGTTGACACATAATACTTAAATTGTGTTGGAGGAGGGATCCCTTCCAACACCATGATAAAGAACAATGAAGAAGAATTATTTTACCAAATAGCAAATGAAACATACTCTTGAATAAATCAATAGTACAAATTGTTTATAAAGAAGGGAATATGCCTTTTGTCAAGCCTCCCTAGCTTGGCGTCAAGAAATATTTCTACGCATATGCACTGACCTTGTGCAGCTACACATATAAGAAGTTGTTAAAACTTTTTTTTTTGGCAGAAAATTTTTTCCACATGCTTTTTGTGTCTCCCATTTTAAGAAACCCTGCATCTAGACTAAACTAGATTCTTATGCCCTAGATGTCCTATATTCATAAATAATTGTGAAGTCATAGAGCTATGTAAAAGAGACAAACTCATTCTTTCAATGATCCTATCTCTCTGTGCCACTATTCCCCCCAGCTGCCACTGTTTTAATCACCTGACATTTATGTCTTGCCAATCACAGATACCTATGATATTATTAGTAAAAGGCAAGAAGGATACAAAAAAACAGTGGTATTTAAAATTGAATGCTACAATGTAGTAATTTTTTTAAATACACTTTTTTGTGTCATAATATATATATTATTTGAGTTCTTGCATACTTTCAGTGCATTGTAAAATCTTACCTCCAATGGCTACAAGATAGTGATTACAGTCCCCTGTGTACATTATGCCAACAAAATCTTTCTGATGAAGAGTATGGAGAATGTGTCAGGTTAACTTGTTATGGTATAACTTATTTTTAAATGTTTACCATAGTATTTTTATTTATTATTATAGCTAGATTATTTGTATTGTTGAATTAACAATTTTTAACAAATTAAATAATGTTATTGTTGAAAGGAGTATGGAATAATTTTCTTCTGGCAACATTTAGATTTATAATTATTCCATTAGTTTTGTTTTTGCATTTCAAAAAGATTATCTTTATATTATTGAGGGTAAAGTTATTCACCATCCTTACTTTAGTTATGTGTCAAATCATATTTCTCTGTCCAAACTTTAGATGTGTTCCACTGGAGTTGTTTGAATGAATATGCTCAAAGGTTTCCAGCGCAGACGGCACCTGCAGGATATACCTGCCCATCGTGCAGTGCCTGTATATTCCCACAGTCTAATATGGTGTCCCCTGTAGCTGATGCTGTACGTGTCCTGCTACAGCAGGTCAACTGGGCAAGGGCTGGACTTGGTTTACCATTGGTAGGACACATCTTTATCTCTTGTTCACTTATTACTGCTTTAAAGCTTTAACTAGCCTATTATTTTGTTGTTGTCTTTATAATTTTGTGAATATTAGTGTAAAATAATTGGGTTTAGGAAGCATCAAATAATTTATATAGGGGCCTACTTAAAAATTATTTAAGGTGTCAAGTCCTTTAAATTGTGATATTTTTTATTCAGTTAAATTTGATAGGACCTAAATATTGAGTAACTTATTTCTCTAGATGGAAGAAAGCAAAGCTCCACCAGCACCTCCCCAGCCGGCTGTCTCTAAAGCAACCCTCACCAATGGTGCCGTGCCTAACAGTTCAAACTACAGCCACCTGAGGTCTGACCCAAATCTTGGTTACGCTCCAGGACTTGGAGCGTCTCCCATGCCACCCAATGCCACAGCCAGCAGCAGCAGTGGTAGCCTGGCTTCAAGACCTAGCGCACAAGTGGCGCCATATTCTTCCTCTCCTACAGGAGTCCTGGCCCAGCACAGCTTGATCACTGTAGATGAAGGGACAAGTGCAAGAGGGCAACAAGGATTGTTCTCTAGTAGGATTTTATTTTACTATTGTCAATACCACATTTAACTCCCTTGTATTTTTAGATCATTACTTGGCTCTCTCAACCAAAAATCTGTCTGAGCTGAAAGACTTTGACAGACATCCTTGCTGACCCTAACTGTATTTAATGTTAAAATAGTCAGATTTAAAATTTTAGAATTTAACTAAAAAGCTACAATGTATTTATGTGTGGTTTTAATTTATTTATTGGATGTGAAATTTACATTTTTTGAAACTGCTTTAAAATTTTTTCCAGATCCCAGAAAATTGTTTGACACAACAAAAGAAGATGACCTGTTCAGTGATGTTGGAAGGTCACATGACCATGATGAAGACAAATACAAAAGAAGACCAGCATTACAGTGGTTGGCTTGGTGGTTTAAGTAAGAGATTTCTGTTGTTTTAACTAACATTAAGTTCCTTGTTTGTGTGTTCGAAAGATTGACGTTTTAAATTTATCCCAGATCTATGGATGGGAACAAAAGGAAAGATCCCCATGCTGTGAAGAAAAGATTTGCTGTCATTCTGCTGATTGGCATCATAGGGTTCATCACTGTCATCATCATCTTCTCCAAGCTGGGGCGGCAAGCTACAGAGGACGACCCATTCTTTGACCCCCTACAAAACCCAAACATTAAAGTTGAAGCCAATCCCCTACAGTAGCACATAAGCTCTTGTTAATGTTTCTAACATTTCTTGTACAAAGCGGTATCAACACATGCTACTAGAGAATATATATGTATATTAATAATTTATTGTACATATGATTTTATCATTACTAACATAAGGGGGCATTACCCTTTCATCTAGCTAACTTGCCACTAGGTTGTTTTTTTTAATTAACAGAAAACATGGACCAATCAGAAAAAATCTAATGAAATTAGTAAACATTATTCTACATTCATGTTGACATGCACTTGCAAACTTTTAAGTTTGAGCAAAGTGCACACCTTCCTGTCTGGCTTTTCCATCAAAATAGTGAAATGTGGTAGGCCAAGTGCTGTTATAATGACACACGTGTAATCTACTGCTGTTTGCTGGCTGGTAGAAAACTGGGGACTAACTTAAATAACTTTTACTTTCTATTATTCTTTATTATTGAGAGCTCATCAGATTTCAAACAGAATGCTTTATCAACGATTTTAAGTCTAGAATGTTTGCATTGAAAAATTTTCACGTCTAATTTCTTTTTGAACTTTGAATTTTCCAACTTCTCTCTTCACTTTTTCATTGTAAAATATCTAAGTTATATAACACAATCATAAGCAACTGTCATAAATAGCATGGGAATGTGTGATGGTTAATGCAAGTGAAATATTTTTATTGAAAAAAAATCATGTGATGGCAAAGTCAATCTGAAGAATATTCATGCTTACTAATGCTCTTTTACTGTCCTAACATTGTGATATTTTGTTTCTTTGAAAGAGTTACATTTTTATATCAGTCCATTGTCAGATTGGCAAATTATTGTATCTGAAAGAATGTGTGTGAGAATGTAAATTTTCATCAGGTGTTTGTTCAGTTTGTATAAAGCAGTGGGTTTCATTTGGTTGGTTATAACATCTAGAACATGGATACTTGAACCATTTTATAATTACATTCCAGTTCAAAAGAAGAAAAAAAAATAATTCAAATTGTTTCAGTTTTAGAAAAAATTCTGTCCATTGGTAACTCTTCAGAGCTAACTTATTTCTGTAGTTGCTTCCCCTGATACATTTTTTTTTATTTAGTTGCCGTTTTTTAGTCCACAAGAAGAAGCAGTACACTGGATAACAACTGATAAATTTTTAATGTTGAAATTAAATAATCTAAGACACTTGCAGTTGTGGAAGTTTTTTTATTTCGCTTTAAGACACCTATTTTTCTTTAAGCAGTACATTTCCAAAATAGAAAATTTAATCTTTCCAAATTGAGTGGAAATCCTTCAATCAATAAAATAGTTACATGTCCTGGTCAGGAAGTGTGTCTTATAAACAGGTGTCTTATTTCAGTGTTGGTGTATTTCACTGTTTTGTCTCGTTGCTTGACATGATGGGCACTCATACAAAAAAAGATGTAAATCTACACTGTTACCATTTTTAGTGTCTGACTGCCCTACTATATCAGTACTGTAAGATGGTACGTTTGTTTGAGATGGCCAATATACTTAGTGTAGCAGTTTGGTCTTTATTTTGTTGTCTTTGAGTTTGTATGGGGCTATTTGTATCAAGCTTTAGAAAGCACGGGTCATCAGCTTATCATATGTTTGGAGCTGTTCCCCAGAATGTGATGGTTCTAGTAGGCTGCTGATGGGGCATGAGCCTCACTCCTTAAAGGTGTGGGCCATTCTCTCCAGCTTTCTCCTTGTGTGACCAGTGTCGCCTCTTGTTCTTTTTCAACTGTTTCCACTCTCCTTTACTAAAGAATAGGTTGATTCTGATGTCAGTTTTAATGTCTGTAAAACAGCATTGATGGGTTGCAGTAGTTTGATTTTAATGTCAGGTTTTAATGTCTGTTAAACCTAGCATGGGTTGCAGTAGTTTGATTCTGATGTCAGGTTTAAATGTCTGTAAAACCTAGCATTGATGGGTTGCAGTAATTTGATTCTGATGTCAGGTTTTAATGTCTGTAAAACTTAGCATTGCTGGGTTGCAGTAGTTTGATTCTGATGTCAGGTTTTAATGTCTGTAAAACCTAGCATTGATGGGTTGCAGTAGTTTGATTCTGATGTCAGGTTTTAATGTCTGTAAAACCTAGCATTGATGGGTTGCAGTAGTTTGATTCTGATGTCAGGTTTTAATGTCTGTAAAACCTAGCATTGATGGGTTGCAGTAGTTTGATTCTGATGTCAGGTTTTAATGTCTGTAAAACCTAGCATTGATGGGTTGCAGTAGTTTGATTCTAATGTCAGGTTTTAATGTCTGTAAAACCTAGCATTGATGGGTTGCAGTAGTTTGATTCTGATGTCAGGTTTTAATGTCTGTAAAACCTAGCATTGATGGGTTGCAGTAGTTTGATTCAGATGTCAGGTTTAAATGTCTGTTAAACCTAGCTTGTGTTGCAGTAGTTTGATTCTGATGTCAGGCTTTAATGTCTGTTAAACCTAGCATTGATGGGTTGCGGTAGTTTGATTCTGATGTCAGGTTTAAAGTTAGAGTTAGCAGCTTGACCTAAGTGTTAGCAGCTTGACCTAGCTAACTTGCTAATGTGTGTGCTGCTCATTTGTTAACCAAATGTGCCGTAATTGCCGTGCTGACTTCAGCATGATTAACCATGCAATCAAATAGATTCGACAGACCCAGGCAAACTATTGATTGGTGTGATGGTGGATGATGTGTCTATTAATGCTGGGACTGTGTACTACACACAATGCTGAACAAATCGTGTATGTAGATGTGCTAGTGACACCTGTCTACATCATTGATCAGTCAGGAACAATAAAAACGGAATATCTTAACATGTGTTCATTGTTGGGGTTTCATTCAGTATTGACTAAATATTTATCTGAGGCATTGTACATATATATATATATATATATATATATATATATATATATATATATATATATATATATATATATAAATTGACTTTCAACTTTAAACATTAACACAACAACTTGGGTGTAACGAGGCTGTTGTGTTGTTGGAGCTCAAGGCCCCCTCCCACAATAATACGTATACTAGCCGTAGGTACCCGTTACACGTGAATTATAGATCTATATATTTTTAATGTTATACATTTTGTAGAAGAATATTTTATAAAATAGTTATTGGTCAAAACGCAATGTGCTTTACTACAGGTTTAACGGTATTATTTTGTACAAGCAGTAGTCTTTGATGAAAACACGATCAGCAAACTTTTTAGACAACAAAACCACCACACACAAAAATTATATAGGTCTTTGCCTCGACTTAAAATACATCGATTAAACCGTTAGTAAAGCACTTGATGCATGGCATAATTAAAAGACAAAAAAGTAAGGATACAACATACACATCAAAACTTTACGATAGGTAACAGCCTACCACAGATTCATTACTACATAATAAGATACAATACAATATCCATAATACGAAATGTTATTGCCATGTATTTCGCATACACTCTATGCTATCCAAGCACGACTGTAATAGTTGCTTGTACTAGCTATCTACTTCATTCTCCACCCAACGCTGACCACCATATTAGACACGCCCACATCATCTTCCACCCAACGCTGACCACCATATTAGACACACCCACATCATCTTCCACCCAACGCTGACCACCATATTAGACACGCCCACATCATCTTCCACCCAACGCTGACCACCATATTAGACACGCCATCTTCCACCCAACGCTAACCACCATATTAGACACGCCCACATCATCTTCCTCCCAACGCTGACCACCATATCAAACACGCCCACATCCTCTTCCACCCAATGCTGACCACCATATTAGACACGCCCACATCATCTTCCTCCCAACGCTGACCACCATATTAGACACGCCATCTTCCACCCAACGCTGACCACCATATTAGACACGCCCATATCATCTTCCACCCAACGCTGACCACCATATCAAACACGCCCACATCATCTTCCACCCAACGCTGACCACCATATTAGATACGCCCACATCATCTTCCACCCAACGCTGACCACCATAATAGACACGCCTACATCTTCCACCCAACGCTGACCACCATATTAGACACGCCCACATCTTCCACCCAACGCTGACCACCATATTAGACACGCCCACATCATCTTCCACCCAACGCTGACCACCATAATAGACACGCCCACATCATCTTCCACCCAATGCTGACCACCACCATATTAGACACGCCCACATTATCTTCCACCCAACGCTGACCACCATATTAGATACGCCCACATCATCATCCACCCAATGCTGACCACCATATCAAACACGCCCACATCATCTTCCACCCCCTACATATAATCCTGAAATCAACCGATTTCCTCACAATAAATGGACACCGCCTCGTGTTTTTCTTAAGGCACAATATTTTCCCTATAAATTCTAGATTTAAAAAAAAAACCATCGTATAAACGATACAAACCATTGATCAGATTGTGATCAAAATAATATCCATTCATTTCTCTGTTATTGGAATTGCACTTGCTTGACAACAATTAGTTATTTACCTTATCTGTGGATACAAACCAGACGATTAATTAGCTTAATTATTCAAAAATTTCCCTAAATATGATCGATTAATTTCTAGCTATTTAATCTTCTTGAAAAGTTTTCTCCAGAATTGATTTAATGTCGCTAAAATACCGACATCCAATTCTCGCGGGAATTATGTCTGAGTTAATGGCTTGTTTCCTAAAGATATTCCATAGGCGCGGGTTGCTTGCATTAGTTTGACCTGCATGCACTACTTTATAACCAAGTCGACATGTTTGCCCAACAACAGCCCATCTACTTGCCCCGTGCGCTATAAAACAGCTAGTGGACTTTATAGCACATTTTATTGAAACGTAGTTTAATACAACAAAAATTTGATTCCTCACATTTCGATGAATATTTTAATTCTTTTTCGGGTTCTTGTGTATTTTAAATACGAAACTGAAAGTATGGCATATAACACGTGTTAAAAAAGATTTCCTTAAATATTTATTTTAAAAAACAATGTGCATAAAAAACAAGGTAATTAAAAAGTCTAGTGACAATTTTAGCGCAATTTCCTTATGTTATCTAAAAATAGCTCTGTCGTAGCGTAAATCAAGAGCAGGGTTAGTAAAACCATTGGTTAAAATACATGTTTTATTTACAATAGAGTTACATGACTAAAAACCATTGCGCGCCTAGCTACCGAACGTGATGTCGCAGCCATTGAACGTGATGGCGCAGCTATTGAACGTGATGACGCGTGTGGTGTGGTTGGATAAAAATGCCTACTAATTCGGTCCAAATTTTAATTAATTCAAAAACTTTTTTGTGACCGAACGAAAGGATATTTTTGAAAACTTTCTTCGGCAATATTGTTCTAAATTATGGCAGGAATCGATTGGTACATGTTTCAAGTCGCTAAGTGGTCTGGTTGCCGAGATATGGGCCAAAAACTGCATTTTTTCGAGGTTTTTTGGCTTTTCCGGGAAATCCATGAAAGAAACCCGGAATTTTTATGACCTATGTTCATCCTCGTAACTTGCTTAACATAATTGCTTTGGAACTAGTCCTCGATATTGCTTCGTTGAGGAGGAGATACGACTTAAAGCTGCGGACACACATTCATCCATCCATTCATCCATCCATAAATGACGGGTTAATAAACGCAATTCTCCAGAATGGAAATTGCGCTAAAGATTCTTTCTTGCAGTTGACATGCATATTTTTTAGCGTTATAAATTATCTTGATTTGCAAAGTTTAGTACGTTTATTTGAAATAATAAATTCATTATCTAGTTTTTTGTTTTTTTTTTGTTGTAAATAAAGCTGAATGGTTTGCATAGAAAGTCCTGTTTATTTAACGGCATCTATTTTAAAGATGAAGTTGACAAAAACACTTTCCAACTCCACCCTTGTGGAAACTATTGGGTTTTGTTTCATGCTGATTAACACATTAAGTGGTAAAGTCTATAGCTGTTGTGTTTAAGAATTTTTTAAAATTCGTCTGTTCAGGGGAAGTAACTGATTTGCTCCGGTTTGATGCAGGCAGCATTCTTCTTTAATGTACATTCAATAATAGTTTGATCCACTTGGGGTTAATTAATTATTTGTTAAAACGAGTCCCTGCTGCTTTATTTCTGTTGTTGTCGGTATTTAGTAATGGTTAGGTGTAGAAGATAAATCGCTTCTAATTTGCCTGTGTCCATAATCATACCGCGTCTCGTTAGGAGAAAATTGTTGTTTTTGTTAAAGAGGAAAGACATGATTTAAAAGACATTTGAATTCTTTATTTGGTTTTTTTATAATAAGGCTTTTTGTAGTGTAGACGGCACTGAGTGCTGACTGCACATTCTCCGTGTATGCTGCATAAAACCTAGGGTTGCCACTCAGGGGAAACTAATCGCTCAAGGGAGAGCACATAGCTCGATTGCGCTAGCAGGGAGTGTTTATCGACTATTGCTTTTGCATAATTCCCCCCACCCTTACTCAATCCCACACTCCCTCAAACACCCCTCCCTCCCTGCCTCTAGTACACAAACAGACGCTCCTGCGCGGTGCTCCGCTTTTAAAAATTTACAGTGGGTTTTTTTTTTTGTACATATAATTAGAAATAGGTTACAGGAGGGTCTACAAACTTTAATGCAGCGTACCCCAAGAATCATTTAGAGTGCACCATTATATATATATATATATATATATATATATATATATATATATATATATATATATATATATATATATGCGTGTGTGTACGAGTGTTTTGTTTTTTTATAAGTGAATAGAACTTACAAAGACATTCTGTCCTCTCTGTGCAACTCGACCTGAGTAGCTGTTAGAACAGTGTGAGATCACTTCCTTCTATTATACGTTCACAATCTAACTTTAGCCTTGACGTCACTACACCCCCCCCCCCTCTCCTAGCCAGCCTAATTTTCTTTTTTTTTTTTTTTTGAGGAAAAAACGAGTTTGCTGGGGCGAGGGTTAAAAGTTCAGCAGGGCTGGGGGTTGCAGGAAAAGGGCACACCGACAAAAACTTTGGCGGAAAAAAATTAAGCGAAGGGCATGGGTGGGTGTGCGATTGGAGTGTGGGGGAGGTGGGGGGGGGGGGGTAATCCTTTAGAAAAGTCGTGTCAGGTCGCGGTAGATATCGAGCCAAGAACTCGGTGACCTGACCTTCACGACGGTAAGTGTCTCGCTCGACATTTCCGTGAGAGTCGGCCATTGGGTTTTACAAGAGTGACGTCATGTCCGGATCGAGACGAGGCTTTGTGCGTGTCTACGGTTGTCTTGGATTTCAACCATTGATTGGCCGTGCTGATGGGATCGATGAAATCATTGTCACCAAAAAAGGAAGTGTAATAAATACAAGAAGGTCAAGGAGTAACGATAACGTAACGTTGACTTCAATCATAGGCGGATCTAACGGTGTTTATGGAGAACTTAGCTAAAAAAGTTGGTCATTGTGGAAAGTTGTATTTGTATTCTATCGAAATCATACAAAATTTCAAATTAAAAATATCTAAAAAATATAATTTTAACGGAATAGATTAAAACTTAAAGTTCCCATGTAACAAAAATAACAAATATTAGGGCTATGTTAATCGAAACCTTTAAAAATATTTGGTTCTATCGAAATGTAAATAAGTCACCCAAAACATCACCAAACATCATTATAGATTTTCACTAAAAATTTTAAAATATTGATTTTAATACTTAAAATATATTTTAATACCAAGGTTTGGTTATTTAAAAATAAATAAATAATACGTGTTACAATATTAAATAAATCCTCATTTTGAATTTCTTC